AGCTTGACCAGGGAGCAATCTTCACGTTCTGGGCATGTCCTTGGAACCCAAAGCCCTCTGTTTCGAGCAAGAAGTATCCTCGAAATTCCGCATGTTTTGCCAGCCGTTCGGCGCAGTCTCGATGCTTGGTTCTGAGATCCCTCATCTGGCCATTGTAGAGAACCGCCGTCTCCCCAAAGACTAGTTTCGGACGTATCTGGAACAGCCGATCCAGGATGCCCTGTTCGCCCATATCGGGGGAAGAAGTAGACCAAATAGCACCGAGTGACAGTGCCGCGAGACACAAGACCATGGTTTCAGGCCTGTTCGAGATGACAGCGGCGACCCGACCTCCCTGCCCAATTCCAAATGACACCATGGCATCTGCAGCCTGCCGCACTTGCGATATCAGCTCTCCCCAGGTGATCGAACGCAAATTGACCCCGCCCTCATTGCAGGCGTGAATGGCTATCTCACTCTCCGACTTGCCAGTCAAGAGATTCTCGGCAAAGTTCAGTTTGATTTGAGGAAAGAACGAGGGAGGAGGAAACATGCTCTGAGCGTCCTGAAGAAGCGAGTCGTAGTCAGCAACATCTTACCCAGCCCCGAGGCCAAGGAACAGCGATCTTCGCTCAACTTACCGCTCGCACATATCCGAGCAATGGCCCAGTGTTTGCTTTGATCCTCAAGAAAATGAACAAGTCTACCCAGAAATCGGATGCCGTCCGAGGATTGACCGAGTACGCGTGCAATTCGCTGTACTTCCGTAACTGCAAGTCATGTCGGTGGTTGACCAACTGAAGGAAGCGATCTGTTTGAGTCGAGCCCAGGTGCTGGGGCGTCCAGACCAGCCGAGGAGCGTGCCGCTCAGACATATTTCGCGGGAGGAAGATGTGGCGGAAAGTGCGACAGACAGGTAAGCTTTGGGTGCTGGCTATAGCAATGCTGCTTGGATAGGTGATATGTGCGAACAACTAGTGGCCGTCCACCAAAATCTTTTGCTCATTGGTGCTGGCAGCAAGCTAGCCATACTCAGCGACTCTGGTGGGTCTCGGCACATGGTTCGGAATACCGGAGACAGATTGCCGGTCTCCGGTGTTCCGAAATACTTTGCCAATTTGGGAAGCAATCGCCTAGAGCTTGCGCGGGCCGAGGATATCCGCAATGATCCCTGCGAGAATGTGTTGGAAGGGGTTCAATGGGCCATTGCCACCAGCAACTGTTGGCCAAATATTCATGGCAGTATAAACAATCATTCGGCCGCTCGTTGTTGTTCAGGCTGACAGCATGAAAAAGCACTGTCGACGGGGAAGAGATTTGAAGATGAGAGCTAGAGCGATCGACTGACGCTTCCAAAGTTCCTTATTTACGGCTATACCTCCGGAGATAGCCGATGAAACTGCAATCAAAGGCAATTAATCACGTTTCAGTCCTGATAAACACATAAAAGGACGCCCCAAAGTGCAAATTCACCTTGCTCAAGTTGGTGCTTGAAGGGTGCCGAAACAAGAACAGCACGAGCTTCGCTGGCTTTGCTTGTCGCGCCGAAGGTGTACTCGGCTTTTGAAGCCAGGGCAAAATGTCTCAACACGCATGCGACTTGACCCCAGAGCACCCAACCGCCGCCAATGAAGATCCAATCTGGGATTTTATCAGTCTAGACCTCGATGCTGGCAGTGCTTCTCCCACCTCATGGGCAATGGACACCTTTAATCCCTACGAGTACCAGCAACTTGTACTAGAGCAATCCAGCCCACCCGCTGCACCGCATTTGAGCTCGTTCGGTGAGGTGGAAAGCATGTTACTTTCTTCATGTGAGCCCTGGATTCGTGCAGATTCGTTCCCAATACACAACTAACCATCGCCAGGTGGAATGGATGTAGTAGGAGAGTCGCTTGGCTTGATCGAACAAAACTCTATGCCGCCAACACATCAGAAACCTCCTCGGGAGTGGATGTTACCTCCAGATGTTGGAAACGCTTGCAAGATGGGGCATAGCAGACAGATTGATTCCCCGTATTTGTCCCGCGAACTGCAAGACAAGTTGGTTCAGCTGTTCATGACGAGTGTGTATATCTTATGCCCCGCCATGAATGCAGCCGAGTTTTACCGGTGGTATCAGACCAGATATGACGTTCCTGATGACGGTTCCCTGAAGTCGCTGGTTTTGCAAGCCGTCCTTTTTGTCACTTTCCCGCACCTGAGCGACGGGGAGAGGCAAGTCTCGGGTCTGGGGACGGTACCACAGGCACAAAAGGTCTTATTCGAATACACTCTCAGTCTGTATCAGACAGCAACTCTCACCAAAGAAGGCCACGTGGCGCTGACACAGACAGCCCTGCTTTTGAGCCACTGGAGCCCGTACAACAACTCTAGAGAGGTAAACAGCTTCTGGATCGATGAAGCCTTCCGCCATGCAATCCTGGGACGGCTATACAGTAGCACCGATTGTCACGATGTTCGCACATGGTGGTGCTGTGTCGTTCGAAACCGGGTCCTCGCATTCGCACTCTGCCGACCCAACAAGTTGAGAAGGATCGCACTGGGAAAACTCCCCGAATTCTGGGCTTGCGAGCGCAATCCAGCGTTACCTCGGTCGAAATGCCACCCACAAAAGGACGTGGATCAGATCTTTGTTGCCATATGTATGCTGTCAAACATCATGTGCGAGATACTGGCTCTACAGAGCAACGTCGGCCGCCTCGACAGTGCAAGTTCACTGCGGGAGAGACAAAAACTGGACAATGAGCACCTGAGGCAGGTCACGGAGCTCGAGTTCCACCTCCAGACGTGGGCGGAATACTATGAGACCACTCTGTCTGCCATCGACCAAGACAGCCTGTCGCGCTTGTCCAAAGTCCAGCTCCTGATTCCTCGAATCATCTACACGTAAGCGAACGACATCCCGGTCAGAGAGGATGGCTGACAATCTTGCCAGGTCCACCAAAGCCTCACTGTACGAATCCTTGATCCGCTCTTCGCATACCAGCAGACCTATCTCGCGGCTATTACACAAATACGCCTTGAGCAGCTTGAAGGAAGTCTCCGAGGCTGTTTCGATTCAGGCTGGCGAGCTCCTCAAGATTGCAAAGACCGAGGACATTCCCATTGTTCTGTATGTGTGGGCCAATGATCACAGTTAGGATTTCTCATGGCTGATACCCAAGCTAGGCCCGCCTGGATCATGCTGCCTGTTGCAGTCCATCTGATGCGCATGCATAGCAAGCTTACAGAGTACACATCGAGTGACATTCGACGGTTCGGACATCTCATGCGGCTCCTTCATGCGATGAACACTCGGTCCGAAGGGGTGCAGTACGTCACCAAGGTCATTCAGAATATGATTGATGCTCTCACCAGCAGCGCTCAGAATGGCATCAGTGAGGAAATCAACGAGTTACAAGGTATGATGGGGCGAATTGACCTGTTACAACGCGCGCAAGCTGTCGAGACTGTCCTCCTGACGAAAGTCGCCGACATGATCCGCTCAGCCCTCGGGCATGAAGATTTGGCATCGATAGCGACGGGAACACGGTTATGAGTCGACCGTTTGATCTGTGGGCGGTACGGTACCGTGCAGTTGTAAGATAGTTCATTAAGGCTTGTACTAAATCAGGCGCGCCAGAGAGACGACGGGACGCCCCAATAATGCCGAGCTCCCCCGTGCCTACCTTTGCCTGGACCCTGCTGGTTCGAGACAACTGTGTGGCCCCTGATTGGTAATAGGCTTATCTCGAGGCACATGTATACTTCGTCATTTACAAGTTCCATTTACAAATATTCGTGTACTTTCGCCGGCGCACAGTGGCGCCTGATCGCACGATCCCCACCATTATCCGAAAATGGCAGATGGTGTTTTCAACAGAGTTGGCGGACAATCTTGCAGCCAATCGGAGGCTGTGCTTCCCAGAACCCGGGGTGAGCTCGGCGAAGCTGGAATTTTCCCCTTTGGTCCGGAAGCCGGAACCAAGTTTCGTCGTCTGTTCCGGAGCCCGGACTGGGCAAAGCACGGGGCCCAGTTTGAGAACGCTGTCACTTGTTATTCTACCAGGGGCACGCCTCAAAGAGAGTATCCTGTTCGCAATGCTGTGCAGGTGATTCTCTTGAGCTGGAAGAGGAGATGCATGATCGAAACCCCTCGAGCTATCAAAGATGACAGATAGAGGTGATGTACCTTGTGAAATTTTGGTCAAGTTCGTTGCAGGGATGTGTTGGCCGGGCATTTCGGCCTAGGGCATTGATTTTAATGCGAACCTTTTCATGTCTAGGATCGACGAGGACGTGCACGAGTCGAACGAGCTGCATTAGCAACACCTCGATCCTCCTTTCAATAGCTGGAACCCTCGCCATCAAGACTCTATTGGCCCTGGGGTGACCGTAGAACGATGCACCATCCAACGCGAGGCATAGATCGAAGGTGTAAACAGTGGGTCATGCTCCCCGGACACGGCGTCCTGGACAACCCCGCAAACCCCACAAAACCCTCCCTCCCCCATCCCATAATTCGCAGGAAAAAGCTCTCTCGCTGGGCGACACTACGTTCGTATGAGCGGAGCTATCACTTGTCTCATCATTGTCACTTTCTATCGTAGATCCCGTCGTCCATTTTCTATCGCAACTCAACACGCCACGATTCCAGATGGCAGGGCCGAGACAGGCTCCCAAGTGCACACTTGCTTGTAATCACTGCCGCATCAAAAAGGCCAGATGTGAGCTTCCATCTCCATCTGCAAAAGTATTGTTGCTCGCGTGCTGATTCGGTCATTCGTTCTCACAGGCAGCGGCGTGAAACCATGTGGAAATTGTTTGGTATATATATATATATAGACAAGGCAACGTCTTGAGGGACCAGCTGAGTGACTGTGACGCAGGATCACAACGAGGAGTGCTGGTTCCCCCCAGCACAGCAGAGGACACGAAAGCGTAAGGATCGGGATAGGGCGCTGGATGAACGATTTGCGCGCCTAGAGGCGCTCCTCCAGAGTTCGCAAATCCCACCCCAGCCTGGGGCCGCCGTTGCGATGTCAGTACCTGGCCCTCAAATCTCGAAAGCGAATAAAGAAGACACCATCCTTGTGGCCGCCCCTACACCTTCGGCTGGAGCCGCAACAACCCAGTTTCAGAGTCCTCGAGCAGGCTCTATATCATCGGCTGGGCCTTTGCAGCCCACCGGGAATATGCCCCAGGTGGATACGAATGCCTTTGAGCCATGGGCTGATGCAGTCTTGTCCACTGTCGACGACACTTACTCCTCTGCACTCTGTATATCTACCAACCTCCGAGCACCGTCAGAGGTGACGCAGCCGCCACCCTACGGAGAGCCAGAGCACTCTGTCCGGAGAACCCTCAGCCCCAAAGAAATACCGCCTGGGGAGGAGAGTCATCCTTCGGTTCAAGAGCCCGTATCGCCTCCTGCCACAACTTCCGGAGGGTCGTGTGCTGATATAGGCATCGAGGTCTGTATGCTCGGATCCAGTTCAGGTGAGAATGTTCCTGCTAATGAGTGCAACAGGATGTCAGCGAAGTCCACGGTTAGCTCCTGCCTTGGTCCAGTGAGAACGAAGAAGCTTGCTGACAGAACACCCCTAGGTCCTTCCTCGTATCTTTCAATCTGCTCAGAGCCAGCCGTTGATTGGGTTTCGCACCACATTGGCGCGCCGGACTTCAGAACTCTCGCCCTCAGACTCACGGCCGACGTGATGCGCAGCGAGAAGCTGGAGCGTGCAGTGCAGTCGGAAAGAACGCCCGAACCAGACTTTCAGACGGCATGGAAATGGACGACAGGTGGGTTTCCCCTGGGAGCAACATGATAATGGAAAGTGAAGTTGACCGTAGGCGTACAGCATTTTTTGACCAGGGCCTAGACGCCATTTTCGGATGCATCCATCGTCAAGCATTCGAGCAGAAGCTTCGCGCCCAATTCGAAAGTAAGCTTCCTTCTGGGCCTGCTCAGGACGCTGCCTGGTACGCACTCCGCAATACGGTCTACGCAGCGGGCTGTAGGATCACGCTGTCCGAGGGCGCTTACCCATCCGCCTTCTTTGAAGCCCGCACCCAAGCGTGGCGGTACTTTGAAAATGCACTGTCGGTGCACACGGACCTCATCTATGGGCGCAGTGGCATCACCGCCATCCAGGCGTTACTAAGCATGGTACAAGAAATCCCCGTCCACTACATGTTTTCTAGTGTTCCAAAGTTTCTGACTCTTGTTTCTCCCGATAGGCTTTCTTCGCCGAAGCACTCGGAAGCCCGGCTTTGGAATACATGCTCCTCTCGAACGCGGTCCGCCTGGCACAGTCCAAGGGATTGCATCTCCAGGCGAACAAGGCCCTGCAGCTCCGAGAGGAAGATGTTGCAGTTCGGAACGTCGTCTGGTGGAATCTCTACATGTACGACAAACACCTGGCATATCGCTCGGGCCGACCTAGCGTAATAAAACTCTCCCCCTGGCTCTGCCGTGCAAGGCTAAGTACTTACTCAGGCCATTGACGACGACGACATCAGCTGCCCCATTCCGACCGTCGTGCTTCCCGGCCACCAGTTCAATCTCGAATTTTTCCGCAACACTGTCAACCACGCCAAAATCTCGTCGCTGATCTTGAAGCGTTTATTGACCGTCAAGGCGATGCAGCAGAGTCCCGAGGAAACGTTGACGGTGGTTCAGGATCTCCATCAGGAGCTGCTCTCCTGGTACGAGTCTCTGGCGCCGTGTTTCCGGAGCAGCCCACCCTACCGAGCGAATAATCTACCACCGGGCATCCAGCCTCAACACATCATCTTCACCCGGTTTATCTACAGCGGGTCGCTCATCGCGATACATGCAGGATTTTGTCAACCGTGGAGCCGACCCGGATTGGCGCTCAGCTCGAGTCCTCGCGTGGTCGCCCAGCGGCAGCGCAGTACCGAGATCGTGGCCTCTGCTGCTAGAGACATCATCATGGCCACCCAAGGCTTGACTGTCTCCGCAGGTTCGCCCGTATGGTCAGTATCTTCCGGCTTCCCTCTATCCACCCGGTCATCGAACTAACCGTCGGGCAGGCTGGCATTCTACTTTCCACTCGTGGGCCTGATCAATTTGTTCCTCCACCTCATCCAGCACCCGACCCTCCCCACGGCCAATTCGGATATTTCGTTGATGGACGCAATCGTCGGCCACTTTGGCTACATGGAATACGCCAGCGGCTCTGAGCTCGTCTTCAAATTTCCTCGCAAATGCGTCGTGTACGCTAGGGAAGTTGTCAAGCGAGCCAGAAGGCAGTCGACCAGCCAGCACGCGGATCAGCAACCTCCCAACACCGCCGACGTTATGCTGCCGAGATTCTCAGATCCTTGTCCAGACTTCCCTTTACCCGAGGTACGTCCTTCTGCACTGTGCGTGGACTTGAACGGTAACATAGCTAACCCGCACCTTGTTTAGTTTGTCACCTCGGACATGTCAGAGATCGGGTTCGAAGATTGGCAGAGTAGTCTGGCTGACTTTGCCGACCCGCGCCAATGGTTTCAGAATATTCCCAGATAAAACTTCTGGGTTTGATGTGTAGTCGCCCCGTGTATTCATTTTTCAAACGAATAGGAGAGGGACGGTTATGAACTTATTGTAATTCACCTGTCAACCTAGCCTGTTTATGACGCCAAATCAATGTACGTTCTGCTATACGCTACGTCGGGATGAAGTAATCGAGGTTGAAAGTAATGCTGTTCGAGCCCACGTTGTCTATTTGGTAGATTGAATACGTGAAATTCCTCCACCACGAACCTGCTGTGCTCTTGCGACATTGCCACCATTGGGCTAGACACGCAGCGGGAATCTCAAGAAGAGACTGCCTTTCTTCGCCATCCTTCCTATTTCATAACTCGGAGAGCCTCCTACCCGCCTCATGACTGGCGCTCTTTCTTGGAGAGCATGCTTTGGAAAAACTCCTCCTTGAAATTGCCATCCGCGTCCAGCCTTGTCTGGGCCTCCTTCCACGCTGACTTGATCAGGGCCACGCGCTCCGGTCCTCGCGGTCGGATGTCACATCTGTTTCGGCATATTATCAGCTGATATAGCACTGCCGAACTTGAGGGTGGGAACGTACTCAAAGGCCTCTGGCCTGACGATGAAACCGGGCGTCACGGCGTCACGGTTGATAGGAAGAGGGGTCCCGTTCGCGTCCACTTTTCGGTGGAGTTCAAAGCCCCATAGTAGTCGTGAGATGGCCAGGAATAAGGCCCGTTCCGCGACGTGGAACCCAGGACATACTCGCCGTCCCGCACCAAAGGTGAAGTGTGGTCGGTTGAGCGAGTCGGCGTTGATGCCGTAGCTCTCGTTCAGGGTCGCCTCTGCACTGAAACGCGACGGATCAAAAGTGCGAGAGTTTTCGTATGTGTTGTGGTTCAAGGTCCATATCTATTTGTCCTGGTCAGTCACCTGTAAAGACAGACGCGACCCTTCAAACCTTTGACGACAACGTACATTCATCATGACAGTGGCGCCTTTGGGGATTTTCATGCCGTTGTAGACATCGTCACAGGCCACCGAATGTGGCACGGCGCCGCTGATCGGACTCGGAGCCCCTGCAAGCCTTGGTGAGCATTTGAGTCCGCCCTCTCAAGGGGCCCAGCATACATCTCAGCGTCTCTTCCACCACGGCACGAATGTAGGGAAGGCGTTCCCGGTCTTCCCAGGAAGGCATGCACTCGGCACCGATGACCTGGTCGATCTCTTCCTGCGCCTTTTTCTGGACGTCGGGGAAAAGGATCATCGCTTTGACGAAGCCTAGCAACGTATTCCAAGTCGTGTCTCTGTGAATCATGTCAGAAGAGATTCTGGTGGAAGGGTCAGTTCATGCTTCCTGCATGTGAGCTTACGTTGCTGCACCAAAACCATGCCCTGCATTATGGGCAATTTGTCTCTCGGAGAGGCGATCGGCGTCCTTGTCAATGAGCATGTCTCGAATGAAACCTGGAGACTTGGGTTAGTCTGTTGGTCACCCAAAAACAGCCCATCCACCAGTGTGTATTACTGGGATATTTCTTCCCGAGGGTGATCTTCTCCTTGGCTCCTTCGAGGAGTTGGTAGAAAAGCCGATCCTCGAGTTTCTGAATATCGGAGAGCGCGCGTTTGAAAGAGCTCATCCAGACCGGCATCACCCGATACCATGGACGAAGGAAAGGGAAAAAGTCGACCGGCTGCAGATTGATCGCTGCTGACGTTCGGTCCATCCACTAGAAACCTCTGTTGGCGTTCTGCAGAGGGGGGGGAGCTGAGAACACACAAGACTTGCCTCGATAAGACCCTTGACATATCCCGTATACACGTTGGGCGTTCGCCAACCGTACAGAACGGTGGAGGCGATACTCGCCGTATATCTCTGTAGATTGCCTACCCAGTTGTCGGGATGCTCTACCATGTCATACATGAGCTGCAGACTCTCAAAGATCTAGCCAGATCGTTCAGTCCATGTTCCACACAGTCCTGGTCCTTTTTACAGTTCGTACCTGATAGGGGAGATAGCTGTTTGCTGTCTTCACGTTGAGACGGACGTGGTACATCTTGCGTTGGCGTCGCCATGTTTCATCGTTGCTGGACGGGCGGCAGGGTTAGCGACCTTTGTCCAACGATAAAAGAAGAGGGTGTGCACACACTCTCGTAGAGCAATGTTCAAGCCGTCTCCGAATTCGCGGATGTAGAGGTCTGGACGGGCCGAATAGATGTTGCTTCGCTTCTCGATGAGATCTTTGACTACTTCGGGGCTGTTCAGGAGGATCATATCCTGACCGCCCAGCTTTAACGACATGATGGGACCATCTGATAGGAATTAGCGAGGGTCGGTAGATCACGTCGCCGTGATATGTACATTCGTTAGCCCATTTTTGGAATTCGAGATGGAAGTTCTTCATCGGCATCTGAAGCAGGTTCCCAAGTACTGGATATGTCCTCGGCCCTTTTGGACCAGTCAGTACCGTCTCCAAGTCTCTCTCATCCAAGGAAAGATTGGTGCCACCTGCCTGGTGGGAAATCTTTAGGACGCATCCCATATCGAGCAATTTTGTAGCATACGAAGACAACAGCGGCTGCCACCACGGCCCAGAGGGCCACTGGATGGTTCTGGGACGCCATCAAAGTCTGATGATCTGCCAGGTTGAAGCTGTGCTTGGAACTCACTTGTCTCATAAGATTGGAGGTTGATGTGTACATACCAATTCGACAGCCAGGACTCTTGCAGACCGTCATTCCTTCGACATACTCCAAAATAGCCGGGCTCCGATCATGTGCTCTATAGCATGTGGCTCTCCCTTGCTCGGAATGACGGCAGGACCCACATCCATATCGAGTGAAGCAATCGGAGGCAAGCGACTCACCTCCTCCGGCCCATTCCAGCGTGACCATAGGCTCCCGGAGCCACTTTTGGCTTGCTAGTGTCCTGGATACCATTTCCGCAGCCTACCTGGCCACCAGGCTCATTCGAACAGACCTGATTCTCTCCGGAACCCAGAAACAGAGGAGAAAAAGGTTCGTGCTTGATTGTCGTCTAGTCGGATTGGTCGGATTGGTGTGTCAACTATTAGAAAACAAATTTGGCACTTCTGGACTGGGCCTTGTTGTTTCTCCCATGAGGCTGGAAGTCGTTACTCCCATCACACCAACGACCAGGTTGTATTGACACTCGAGCCATGGGGATCTCGGAGCATGTGACCAGCCATTTTTCGGCCCATGTGCCCTATCCCACGACCTTTGCACTCGCCGCTATTTTCCTTGTGAGTGATTGAGCCTGCAAGCAGCCTCATCAAATGGGGGGAGGGCTTTCTGACCAAGCTCTCAGATCGGATATGTCATCTACTTTGCTGTCACCTATGACTCACGTCTCAAACATCTGCCGCCAGGGCCCCGAGGCTATCCTATCATTGGGAGTCTCCCATCGCTTGTCGACGCCAGCAAAGTCCCCGAGATCTCACGGGGATGGGCCCGTAAGTATGGCGAGCTGGTGTACACCAAGATTGGTGGGACGCACTTCATCTGGCTCAATAGCCCTCGAGTGGTCAAGGATTTGATGGACAAGCGTGGGACCAAGTATTCGGGTCGGCCTTATGCTCCCATGGTTGACAATGTGAGCGGCAAAGCTCGAACGTTCTTCATGAACTACGGTGAGCGGTGGCGCAGCGTCCGCAGGGTCAGCCACGCCTGCTTGAATCTGACAGCGAGCAACTCGTACCGGCCGGTGCAAGATTTTGAGTCTAAGCAAGTTCTGTACGATTATCTACACAACACGGATCCACAGAAGTTTTACGACGACAACCGCCGCTACGCCGCCAGTCTGATCATGACCATCACGTATGGTCAGCGGGTGGCTTCCTGGGATGATCCTCACATCGAGAAGATCTTCACGGTCCTCAAGCACTTCGTGGCTATGGCGAGTCCTGGCGCCTGGCTGGTTGATGCCTTCCCTTCGCTAACTTACCTACCGTCGTGGATGGTGCAAAACTGGTACAATATTGGAAGGGAGTGGTTCAAATATGACAGTAAAGTCTACCTGGACCTGTACCGCAACTTGGTCAAACAGGTCGACGAGGGCACCGCCCCCGACTGTTTCGTCAAGGATTTCTATCTTGGAAATCCAGCCAAGAATGGCATTGACGAGCTCACAGCGGCATATGCTGCGGGCTCCCTAGTCGAGGCGGGTAGCGAGTCGACTTCATCGGTCATCAACGCCTGGCTCAGAGCATGTATCATGTATCCTGAGACGGTCAAGGCTGCCCAAGAAGAGGTGGATCGTGTGGTTGGACCTGACCGCCTCCCCACATTTGAAGACGAGCCAAACTTGCCATATGTCCGCGCCATGGCCAAGGAAATCCTGAGATTTGTGCCCATTACCAAGTTCGGCACACCCCATGCAACCACGGAAGACGACTGGTACGACGGGTGAGTAAATTTCCTCCTCTTCTCTCTGGGATCGCAAGGAGGCAACGTCGAGCTGACTCTTGATCTTGGCAGCTATTTCATCCCCAAGGGTTCGGTGGTCATGCTGAACTGGTGGGCCATTCATTTCGACCCCAAGTTGCGTGAAAACCCCTTCACATATGATCCCACACGCTTTCTCAACGATCCCTACACCACCGCCGAAGCCGTGAATGCCGCCAACCCGAACGACCGAGACCATTATTCATACGGGGCCGGACGGCGGATATGCACAGGGCTCCACGTGGCCCAGAACTCTCTCTTCATCAACATGGCGCGGACGGTGTGGGCGTACAACCTGCACAAATACAAGAACCCTGCCACGGGAGTCGTGGAGGAGCCAGACATGACGGCTGAAGACGGGTTCTTGTGCATACCGAGACCGTTCAAGATGGTATTTGAGCCCCGAAGTCCCGAAAAAGCGAAGATCATCGAGAACGCGTGGAAGTCGGCCGAGAGTCAGGGCATTGAATGGACGCGGAAGCAGGCGAGGCTGTGAAGTATACAACATTTTAAGAGAGAGAGATAGCACTCATAGTTATTCAAGGACAATCTAGGATTCGCATGTCGTATGCTATGATCTTCGTCCTGTTCTCTTTATCTCTCGCAGGTCCAACGAATGCATATTCTAAGACAGATACTAGAGACATTGGATGAAAGCATTTATCCTGTACAAACTGGACTGTTCAAGACTTCTCTACACAAACACAGGTATCATGATTTGCAATTTGCAAAAAGCAATGATACGCGTCTCAGACGAATCCTCATGAAGCTAACGTGTTCCTGCTCGGACTGACTCCCACATGCCGGACTGTCGGAGGCTTCTCGTGCCGCAGACCAAGGAGGTCCTTTTCGGCATGTCCCAGACAAACAAAGTGAGAAGCAGCATGGATTGCGCCGGCTAAAAATCTCTCTAGCTACATGTTACATCATTCTGCTTGAGGCTGACGAAACGGATATACTTGACACGTCGGTCGAAGATTGTTCACTCGTCTCAACGCCAAGGGCGTATGTAAGCCTGTCCCTCTACCTATCCTGTCGCTTTCACCAAAAGCTATCTACGACATCTTACCTTGAGATACGGGGAAGAAAAAAAAACATGACGAGCGGGTTTCCTGTCAAAGATAAAATCGTGGCGATTACTGGCGGCGGTTCCGGTAGGTTCCATTTCCCATTTCCCAGAGTTCTTCCTTTCCTCCCCGGGACGGGGGCAAATTCTACAACGAACCCCTTGAACAAAACACGCAGACGAAAGCTAAATGGATCGATTGACCTCGTCAATGCAGGTATCGGACTCTCCTGCGCCCAGACTGCGTTAGACGCGGGAGCGAAGGCCGTCATCATCGCGGATCTGCGTCTGACACCGGAGGGCGAGAAGCTGGTCACCGCGAACAAGAACGTCGTGTTCGAAACGTGCGACGTGACCAAATGGAAAGACCTGCAGCATGTGATTGATGCCAGCGAGAAGCATTTTGGGGATGTCCCAGACGTTTACATTGCCTCGGCAGGCGTGTTTGAACCTGTAAGTCGCACATCCGTTCCAGTGGAGTAAGATCGTAGAACATATATAAGTTGCTCCCTAGGTGTACTCTTTTGGACAATTGTTGGCGATAAATTGCTCACAAAGTGAGAGAACAGCCGTACTCCAACTTCTGGGACGACCCGGAAGGTTTGGACGCGGATGGCTACAAGGCCGTCGACATCAACGTGAATCACCCGGTGAGTTTGTCGCGGTTGTATCACTCTTGATCCCTGTTGACGACGGTTTGACCTGGCAGATCAAATTGACTCGGCTTGCCATGCGCGCACTCTTGGGCAAGTCGAAGCGTGGTGTGGTCGCCATTCTGGCGTCCATGGCGGGCTACATCAAACAGTATCCGGCTCCCATCTACGTGGCCACAAAGCATGCGATGGTCGGGTTCACACGTAGCCTGGGAGATGCCGAAGCCCTACAGGGTGTCAAAGTGGTGGCGATATGTCCTGGGTAGGTCTTCCGCTCTCCCTGATACCCTATTATCCTTTTCCCTTCTGCGGACCGTCCGTCTTACTGATCCAACTAGAATTGTGTCGACCCCGATTTGGACGACTGGGACCCCAGGGTCCGGCGAGCGCTTCGGCATTACCGACCAGGTCAGCATCACCGCAGATCAAGTGGCCAAGGTCGTCCTTGACACGGTGAAATCCGCCAAGTATCCTGGAGGGACGATTGTGGAAGTCTCGATGCTCGGTACGCGGGTTATTCCTGAATGGAATATTGCCCCGCCAGGCGGTGTTGAAGGTGAGACGGCCGAGGGGTCGGCCACGCCAGAGGATGCAGTTCAACGCGTCATTGGGTCAATCTTGCAGGTCACGGAGAAGGAGAAGGGAGCTCGATTGTAGAGTGTTGGACTTGTGGTCAGGTCAGGAGCAATGCCTAAAGAGTTCCAAGAAGCCAGCCCTTGTCCTGTACGAATCGATTTCATGTCCCACTCATGCTTGCTGAATGCTTTCACCCAGGCTGCATGGGCAGACGTCGTACTTCTGTTCCTAAATATGCTGAAACAGGTGTAGTAGCGAGAGTGCACACTACAAAATACCGAGTTGATCCTGTTTGAGTTTAACCGGATCAAGTATCTCAAAAGATGGCCTATGAAGCCTGTCCACGGTCAGTGGATCTCGTCCTGTAACGGTGGGCCCGGTCGTGCGAACAGGAGGCGGGCGGTCATTGCTCGGAGGAAGTTCTGCCGACCACCCGGCTCGCATTGTCGCTTCCTCTCCTCTGTTTTTAGGTGGGTATGACGGTAGATCTTGTCGTGGCTGAAGATTAAGACTAGTATAGTAGCTGACTCGTCACGACTGCGGTCGAAGTTTCTTTTGAACGTCTGAAGAAAATTAGAGGAGGAGCTTGGCGAACTGTCAATAGTGAAATACCAAGGTGCTCAAAGAGGAACGACGCAATAAGATCTGGGCCAGGAAAGCTGCGAATAAGATGGAGCAGGAAGACACACCAAATCCTGGGGCGGGGGGTTCAGAGGGAGCATCTGGCACAAATCCTGTCAAAGAACAGGAGGTGGAAGAAGTACTCGCCGACGATACGGTATTGATCATTGGAGGCGGTCCGGTAGGAATGATGACTGCGACCGTCCTGGCTTTCTACAGGATCAGATCTGTTGTGCTCGAACGCAACCTCACCACCACTCGGTAAGGAGTCAGCATAGTCAGCATTTTTTATGAGCAGAACCCTCGTACTGACGAGTTGAAAAGATGGCCCAAGATGGACCTCACCAACGTTCGATCCATGGAGTTCTTCCGAAAGCTGGGTCTTGCTGAAGGCCTTCGGGAGCGAGGTAATTATCAAAACATACTATCTGTGTCTACCTGCTGAGCAAGTCTGAAGGTGTCCCTTCCCACATCCCCTATACCGTACTCATATCTAGTGGACTGAGCCAAGATTCTGCCATCACACAGTGGAATCACCCCAGTGTCGACGAATACCGGCGGATGATTGCCGAAAGAAATGATGGCACGATGCCGCTAGAGCCGTGGCAGCGTATCTCGCAAGAGATATTCGAGGCGTGGCTGAAACAACTGTCAGAAGCTAACGATTTGATCGACTTGCGCTTTGGCTGGAAGCTCGAGACCATTCAGGAGACAGGAGAAGGCGTCGAAGCGACCGTGACTGACCTCAACTCCTCCAAATCAGTGAGGTTCAGGTCCAGATATGCCGTCGGATGCGACGGGGCTTCCAGTCGAGTTCGGCGAAACTTGAATATACCACTTGACGGTGGCCCGGTGTAAGTAAATTGCTGAAGCGGCAGGCATTATTGACACTAACGGTACTTTCTTCAACACCAGGCCTGGATTTGTGCTGCTAGTACACTTCAAGTCCAACGACCTCGCAAGGCTTCACAAGCAAGGTCGGTTCTGGCATCTATTCATGGCTGGAGAGCACGTCATGGGTGGAGCTACGATCTCTCAAGATGAAAAGGCGAGAATGCCAGGTCACTTTTATCCCACCAGAGTCGCTACTGACTTGTCCTAATAGGACACCTTCACCACGCACCTTTTCCTACCGATGGACGCCGACGAGTCCGCAATTGGCACCGAAGAAGCAGTCTATCGTGTCCTGGGGGGAATGTACCAGCCATACGAAGTGAAGATCGACCAGGTCTTGGTACGTTCGACCTACAGACCTAGCGTGGCAGTTGCTCGCCAGTACTCCGGTCCCCAAGGGTGGATCTATCTAGCGGGCGACTCTGCGCATCAAAATATTCCTACTGGCGGATATGGTATGAACATGGGCCTCGGAGACGCGTACGATATCGGCTGGAAGCTGGCGGCGGTGTTGCAAGGGTGGGCAGGCAAGGGAGTCCTGCAGTCCTATCAAGAGGAGCGCCGACCGGTCGCTCTGACCAACGTGGAGCGGTCAGGAGTACACATGGCGGTGCATGGCGCCGTACCCAACATTTTGAAGGGGTTCGCCAACGAGCTCGATGCTGACACTGACAAAGGGCGCCAGCTGCGGCAGGAAATTCACCAGCATTACCAGGCTAACGATGGCGAAAATACAGACCGTGGCATTGAGATGGGCTACCGGTACAAGTCTACAATCACGATCCCCGACACAACGACGAAAGAACCCCATTGGACGGCGCACGAGTATGTCCCTACGACCTGGCCGGGAAGTCGGCCACCGCATGTCTTTCTCAAGGACGGCAAGACCGCCATCTTCGACCTATTGGGCAAGTACTTTACGCTGGTCCACTTCATATCTGGGGACACCGACACAGCTGGACATGCAGAGTACTTTGACGAGGCGGCCAAGACGATGGGAATCCCCCTTGAACACGTTATCTTGAAGAACGAAGACCACGCCCGTACATTGTGGGAGCGGGATCTGGTACTTATCCGACCCGACGGCCATGTAAGTTGGAGGGGCAATACTATATCGCATCGTTCCACGGCGTTTCATGTCCTGGAAGTGGCAGTTGGGCACCATTTTGACGAGGCCGGTAGCACTATTTCTCAGCAGAAGACTGGCGTTAATGGAGAAGCGGACAATGCACCGGGCAAGGAGCAACCGAGAGAATTCACCCTGGTCGGAGAGGTCGAGAGTCAAGACAGTGAGTATCAACTGGACAAGATGGGCGAATTCCAGAAGTGAAAAGAGGCTCACAGATCACATTGTACGAGGATGTTCGGTGCTGAATGCATGTGTTGCTTGATGGATCTCGTCCGTCCGATGGCGTTTCCCACAATTCACAAATAAGCTTCCAAGTGATCAATAGAGCCAATCAGATAATCAGCGTCGTCTTGACTATACCTTTTTTTGCTTTCTCCGAGTTTCTGCATCAATGCGGTTCCGGAATCTGGCGAACTTCCCCGGCTTCCGAGGCCCGGACTTGTAGGGGAAGTCGATGTACAACGATAGTTAACCGACATTGGATCCGGCAATGGAATCATGGGGTCTTTGGCCGCAGCGAAACATCGACGCTGTGTTTCTTCTTCGCAAAGGTCTTGTGTGTTGTCCTTACACTCTTGACGCCGCCCGCCATTCCACGATCTTGCTCACGCACATATCATCTTGGGAGACATGACGGCTCACAAATTCAAGCGCCTCGTCCGATTCGAGGACTCGAGCCGGACTGTTCATTATGGAGAAGTCCCTGCGAGCCACGGGTGGTCCGATGATTTGACGGGGCTTTCTGTCCCGACTTACAGCGGCGGATTGCCCTGGGAGAGCGGCTTCAAGCTCACTGAGACGACCGCCACCATTGCCAAAGTCTTGAGGCCCATCGAGACGACACCCATCGTCTATGGCGTTGGGTTGAACTATCGTCAACATGCGGAAGAGGCGAAGGTAAAGCTAGTGCCCTCAATTATGGGAATAGCCAACCTAACTGTCCCATCAAGATCCCCCTGCCGCCTTACCCCATGATCTTCGTCAAAGGGGCCGGGCCTTGTGAGTAGACGCTTTCCTTCTCGTTGTACAGAACTCAGCTGAGCCTAGTCTCCGTGTGACCAGCCGCATTGGCAGATCCATACGAAGACATCCCAATCCACAAGGAGGCGCAATTCATGGACTACGAGGTAGGCAGATACATTCTTAACCATGATCATCGTTCACTTGCTACTGTACTTACTCGTCTGTTACCTGTTACAGGGCGAATTGACCATCATCTTTGGCAAAAAGGCCAAGGATCTGACCGAGTCAGACAACGTCGCCGACTACTTGCTCGGCTACACGGTCGGCAACGATGTGTCGTCGCGGTACTGGCAAGACCCTGTGCGGGCGGGCGGACAGCACGGCTACGCCAAAGCCTTTGACAAGTTCGCGCCCATCGGACCTATCCTGGTGTCGCCAGCACAGATCCCCGATCCGACCACGCTCACGATGAGGACCATCGTGAATGGCCAGCAGCGCCAGATCACAAAGACGGACGATCTGATCTTCGACATTCCTGCCATTGTCCGGCATTTGACGCGTGGCAGGACGATCGAACCCGGCACGGTGGTCTTGACAGGGACGCCGAGCGGAGTGGCGGCGTTCATGAAGCCACCGGCATGGCTGCAGAATGGGGACGTGGTGGAGGTTGAGATCTCTGAGATAGGGAAGATCCGGAACAAGATGGTGTTTGACCCAGCTTCATAGCTAGGGAAGGCTCATTGAATAGTTCGAGACTCAAAAAGACCTTTCCTGTCTGCAGGTGCTATCTGTCTTTCCACTTTTTCATCCCTTGACGATCTTACTGATCTTCGTCTCAATCACGGGCCCCTTCCCTCCTTCACTCACAATAAACCGACTAGCCCCAACGAACCGGCCGGTCTCGAGACTTTTAAAGTTCGGTGCGCCAGTCTCCAGCATCAAGTCAGTCTGAGGTATCATGCCATATGTCATGTCTGAGAGACAACTGACCTCGAATGTGATATGTGTGACTGGAAAGAGATAGATAATATTAGCGAAACGATCTCTTGTCCTGCCCCGGACCTGTTTCGGAGGGTACTCACACACGTGTCCAAAGTCCGTCGTCTTCGCTTCCGGGCTGCCGGTCAGGATAAGACCAAAAGCAGGAGTTATTTCGATATGTCCTGTGTAGGCATACGAGATGGTCTATATAGCTCGATGTTATTTTGGATCGAAGAACAGAAAAACAACCGAGAGAGCAACGCACTGTGCCATCTTCATTTCTGCCAGCCAGGTCGCAAATTAATGATTGAGTATCACAAAGATCTGAGATTTGCTTATACTTACTTCAAAGCGGCTTTGACGTCGATTGTGACATACTTCATATCATCGGTGACTTTGAAGTGGTCGGTGCCGAATAACACTTGAGCGTCCACGGCAGGCTCAAAGCCTGGCTCGCTCTTCAATGTACCTGCATTGATGAGCTAGATTCGGCAGTCAGCAATCAGTATAGTCAAACTCCGGTTCCCCCTTTTCCGGATGCTATCCTTCTCAGAGTGAGAGACTGGTGCGGTGGGTATTCTGGGTCTATTTACCGCGATGTATAGCTGGCTGCCGCTGTTGATTTTGCCTGTCGCCAACGGTCAACCGTTGCAGATGGATTTATTCCAAGGTTCGTTACATACCAATGACTACCGGTGCATCGAATGTAATCTGCGATGTCATGAACTGTCAATGCTTTTGGGACTTTCACCGGACAGGGGTTTCAAACACCTGCCTTCGCCGTAAATGCGGGTTGTAAGGCTGCGAAACCCGACATATTTACGGACAAGAAGAAGTAGGGGTCGAATAACGAGCTCTCCTGCTAAGATGAGTAACTCTCAATGGTAGGCACCTGTCAAATTTCTCTGCTGTGTAGATAATGAATGGGAATCTTGTCCAGCAGGGTGTAACTTTGAGTTCTCATGCGACTTATCATTCAGCGACTCCTGGAACATAGGGCGTCGGAGCATATGCCACGTTGGGTCGACGGCCTGCCATGAAAGACCGGAGAAAACTTGCACATACCCCGGTTGGTTCTGTGACAGGTTCACCCGTCTACGTATATGGCTACTTTAACCTCCAATGACCTTTGGTCGACGAGCGTCATTCCAGAGAGCTAGTGGTTGACAAGTACCCTATAATTGCCTGGCTATTTCTTTCACATTAGGGAACGCATCAAGTATAATATTTAAAGGAATACAGCGAGAGACAGGGAAACTTGATGATTTCCTCATTTCTTCGTTTCTCCCCATAACTATACTACGTTTTCTAGACAGTTTCGCCCTCCTTTAAGCTCATATTCTCCTGCACCTGCAGTCCGCTGGTAAAATCCGACTTCCCAGTGGCCATGTTTGTCGGGAATGAATAGTGCTCGTGTACATATTTCCAGACCCCGTCGACCTTGCGCATGACCGATGTCGTCCGGTACGTCAAGTTGAATGGCTCACCATCGGCCGCAGTGCCGTAATAGTTCTGGTGAGCTGTGGCGTAGCCGCATTCGGGCGTGATGGCGATGATTTCCAGATCTTTAATGCGCAAGTTCGCCCGGGCCAGGTACGGAGTGATGCGGTCGTAGTGAGGGCGGAAGCCTGGCCGCGTGACCGCCCCCATCAGATCAAAATAGTTGGCCTCGTCCAGGTCGTAGAAGCGCTTTCCCGCGTCCGGGTCTTTGTCCGCCACATAGTTGCAGAAATGGGAAAAGTCCTTCCAGTGCTCGAGGATTTCATCTTCGACCTTTGCAAGTTTCGGATCGTGGTCCTGTACAGCGCATCGATTCAATGACAATGTCGTTCGTCTGCTGGGAAGACGCAACTTACCTTGCTTGGTGGGTACGACAGCTTCTTCAACAAATCGGCATTGCTAGTCGCGAGATCGTCCTGCGATTGGTGTCAGTAGTGGCTGCAAGTCAAGCTCGTTGTCCGCACCTCGGTGAGCCACGACATGGTTTAGACACGCCCCGTGATGACAGCTGCAAAGAAGTATAGTATCAATTGTCGAATTCTATCTTGGATACTGTCTGGAATTTGACCGGCTCGATATATCAAGTTGGACTGCAATAAATCTAAACGTCCCAATGGATCTGTTCCTAGTTCGATTGGTTCGGACCCTGCAATTCTGTGGACAACCTCCCAACGGAAGCCGGAGCAAGACTAACACAACGGCCGGCGGCAATGACCAGTACCCACCACGTTTGGAGCCACAGTCCCCATATGACGCATGCATCATACATACCTATGGTTAATTGGTCTTCAGCTATCTTCTTCCGGCCTTCGCATACTGTCCAAGCAAGAAGAAACACGATATACAAAGTTGCTCAAGTTATCAGGGTCAGTCTATCACAAACATCTCTCAGACACCCCTTCAACGTCGCTCAAGATGACCGTGGATTTTGATCGCCCGTTTCAAAAAGTCACCTCTCCGCAGAAGCTAGCCCATGTCGTCTTACGCACGCCACGCTTCAGGGAGATGGTGGACTTCTACAAGACCTTTCTGGGGGCGGAAGCCACGCACGAAAACGACTTCATTTCCTTCCTCACCTACGACGATGAGCATCATCGCATCGCGATAGGAGCGGTTCCCGGTACCTCGGACAAGATCAAGACCTCGGCCGGCCTGGAACATATCGCCTTCTCGTTTGCAACCCTCGAAGACTTACTGCTGGCATATAGGCAGCGAAAGGCCAAAGGAATCCTACCCATATGGAGCGTCAACCACGGTCCCACAACCAGCATCTACTACCAGGATCCAGACGGGAATCAGATCGAGACACAGGTCGACAACTTCGACACGGTGGAGGACGCAAACGCGTTCATGGCGTCTCCAGAGTTTGGCGAGAACCCAGTCGGCGTCGACTTCGATCCAGAGGACATCATCAAGAAATTGCAAGCAGGTCATGATGATCGGGAGTTGAAGAAGAGACCAAACATCGGTCCTCGAGGGCTGGATTCGATACCTGTTCCCCCGCCGCCTACGCCCATCAAGGGCCATTGAGCGGACCCTGGTCGGGATACAGTATATGATAGCTTTGTTAGAATACTTTATGTCTACTTTGTTCCTGTCCCAGAGTTCGCTTGTCCATTTGATGAATCTAAAATGGCTTCAAATGTACTGTGAAGAATTTAGAGAGGTGGGCTTGTGGGATTATCGTCGTCCTCATTCAAGCTTTTCTTTCTCCAACAGAGCCAGGATGCGTCTCTCTACGTCGTTCTGCTCTGGCTTAGTACCAGCTCCGGCAGGCGGCTCAGCGTTGAAAGCAGGAACGTTCCTCCATTGCTGTCCCTTGACAACCTCCAAGACAGTCCCCGCTGGCCACTGGCTTGATTCCACCAAGGATTTCATCCCGAGGGCAATCTCGTCCGGCAGAGCACAGACGTCTTTTGTGATGCCATATTCCTGCATGGCTCGGGGCGCGTCGGTCCAGATCCTCGTATATACCATACTGCATGAAATGCGTCAGTGGGAGATTGTTCAATGATCAGCCGGACCATCTGTATGTTCGATCCAGAAAGCAGTGTCTCTTACCCCGGGGCACACGCGACCACTTTGATATCGGCAATCTCGTCCAAGTCTGCCATTGACCGCGTAAAGCCGGTGACGGCGTGCTTTGAAGCCACATATAGTGGGGCGGTGAAGTTGGGCGTGTATCCCGCCAGCGAGCCCACGATCATGATGACGCCTTTCTTCTTGTGCCGAAGAAGCTCGCGGATTCCGATGCGGGTGAACTGGATGGCGTGTCCGACGTTGACGTCGAGCAAGCGGTATCTGTCGTCTTCGAGGTCCTCCCAGAAATTAGACGGCCCTCTCTGTTGATGTGTCAGTCTGGGTACTATCGCATCGTATCATGTGGCAAGAAATGGTTTTCTCACTGCTTCGAATATTCCAGCACCGGCAACGAATCTGCAAGACGGACTCGAGTCAGTTCCCAAGCTCACCATATCTCAATCTGGCTCGTCATAATACTTACAAGTCAGGGACCTCGCCAAATGCCTGTTCTGACACCCTGGCCAAGGCTTTCAGCTGATCCCATTGTGCCACATCTGTCTCCTGATAGACGACTTTGCATTCTGCCCCTTTTACCTCTTGTAGCCATTCCTCCAGCTCTGGTGTGGAACGAATATCTGCTGCTAATACTCGACAGCCATTTTTCTGGCAGAGTTTGGCAAACTCGAGGTTGATCCCTATAGCCAAACTTGTCAAATTTCTGAAGTCTCATTCTTACGCTGAACAAACAAGAAGGGACATTACCTGAGCCTGCGCCCGTTATCACGGCAACTTTCCCATCGAGAATGAAATCCCCCAAGACCATAATGGATGAGATGCCTATCTAGCTACTATTTCAATGGTATATGCCAATGTCTATCAGGCTGTATACCTACTACCGACTATGAGAGCCAGACGATCAGCTGGGGGTTAAGACTGGACAACGTGACAAGAACATGACCAATTTCGACGTCGGATCACTTAGGGGGAAGAGGCTATCACCGATTCCGCTCCTCTTCAGCAATGAGGTGGAGAAAGCAGGTCACGGGCAAGCAGGCTTGATCCTACACTCCTCCATGTCCCCGGACCTGCACGCTATATGCTCCGGAGACAATTGCTCCACGTCACACCCCAGGGGTCGCCCCTATGTGCGGCAATACACAACACTGTGAGGTCAGATATCTCCCGTGGCCCAGGTTGTCGATCTCGGAAGGCCGGAATCCCTGAATGGCAGATAAATGACCAAAGCAACATCCTGGGTAGGGCACCTGATAATGTGAGGCTCTAGAGTTTGGAAGATAGTCTACAACTATAATCTGGCCATCGCTGTTGCCTCCCTCACATCTGCAAGCCGACAGGAGATTTTGGGTACACGGCCTCCACCATCATGTATGCCGTGATAGCTGTGGTCGCCGTTCTGGCGGCCCTGATCATCAGGTTTCGAAACCTTGGCATGAGACCCAAGGATTACCCTCCAGGTACTTCCTCCCTTTGATGGTTGACGCTTTCGATGACATGCTGAGACAATGCCTCAGGGCCACCGACGATCCCCGTCTTTGGGAACCTCTTCCAAATGCCCAGGAGTAAGCTGCATGAAGGCCTGGCAAAAATGTCCGCGCAATGTAGGAATTTCTTTCATCTCCTCGGAACAGCGGCTAACACCCATCAGATGGCCCCATCATGGGATTGAAGCTGGGGGCCATGGACATGATTGTTATCAACTCGTACACGACGGTCAAAGATCTCTACGACAAACGGAGCAGCATCTATTCGAACCGCGTGGACAATTACTTGCGCAACTTTGGGTACAACCTGATGATCTCGAATCGAGAGTAAGTTTGCAACCATCTTCCGTGGAGCAAGGGTTGCCAGATAACAGATCCTGATAGTAACGATGATGTGTGGCGTCGTCAACGAAAGATGTATCACACGGCTCTAACGAGCACGGCAGCGACTCGATACTTGCCCTATCAGGTACGCTCTACCGGCTCTTCATAATAAGGCATCCCGAGACTCACATATTCGAAAGCGATTTGAATCAATCCAGTTGCTATGGGACTTGCTGAACGCTCCGTATGACTCTTTTGACGCCCTCAAGCGCTACACCACCAGCACTGGATCCACCATCACTTACGGCTGGCGGGTCAATCGGGCCGACAATCACTACGTGACACGCCTTTTCGAATGGATCGAATCCTACACTCTCGTGGGCATTGCGACTCAAGTGACCGAGTTCTTCCCTATGCTTCGGCCGATCGTGAAATACACGCCCAACTCGTTGAACAAGCTGAACAAAGAACTCTCCCGACTCACCATCATGGAACGAGATCTTTGGCTCGACCTCCTCCGTGAAGCCAAGTCCAAGGTTGATCGAGGAAAGCTGAACCCGTGCTTCGCTGGCGACATGCTCACCAACCAGGACAAGGACGGGCTTAACGAGATGGAGATGGCGTTCAACGCAGGCCACGCGTGGGCGGGAGCCTCGGACACGACGTTCAACACGCTGCACGGTTTCGTCAAAGCCATGATCTTGTATCCGGAGGTACAGGAACAGGCTCATCAGGAGCTGGACCGGGTGGTTGGCGCTGACAGGATGCCGGAATGGGAGGACCGAAACCAGCTGCCGTATGTCAGGGCTATTGTCAAGGAAAGCTTGAGGTGTAAGAGTCCCTGAGTCTGAAGAAACGGTTGCAGACAAAAGATACTGACCTCAAACTTTCGGCGCGGTCTAGGGTGTCCAACTGCCGTTTTGGGAATTCCACACGCGGCAGCCAAGGACGACGAGTACATGGGGTATAAGATCCCCAAAGGAGCATCCGTGGTTCAAAACGTGGGAGACATCAAACCCCGGTTGACAAAAGTTGTTTCTTTACTGACCAGTTCACTCTCTTTCCAGATATGGGGCATCAACAATGACCCCGTCCGCTACCCGAACCCACGCAAGTTCGATCCACTGCGATACATTGACGACGGAATGCTCTCACAAGAATCGGCCGCCCAGGCTGACCCGGCACTGCGCGACCATTTCACGTTCGGCTCTGGTCGCCGCATCTGTCCCGGCATGCAGGTCGCCGACCGCAGTCTATTCATGGTTATTGCGCGCATGCTGTGGGCTTTCGACATTGAGAGGGTGGGCGACGAGGTCATTGAAAACGACGCCATGACCACCGGTCTGGTTGCGGGGCCGATGCCGTACAAGTCCAAGTGCGCCCCGCGAGACGAGGAGCGGGCCAAGTTGATCGCCGACTCGTGGAAGGAGGCTGAAGGCTGGCTCGACGAGGAGAGAAACTACAGTCAGGCGTGGTACGAGAAAGAGTTCTGGAAGAAATGACGGCCACATTTGAACAGGACACACAACATTTCATTTAACATGTTCGCCATCGGTTCTGTGGATGATTCTACGAATGGTACTGCGTAAACCTGCCAACTGGGCAAGCCGAGATCAAAACATTGTTTCGATCACGAGAGAAGTAGCTCAAGCATGACGTTTTTCTCTTCTTCTATCAACCGCAATGATTAAATCTCGACCCTCTCCAAAGCGCAACAGTCCTCGAATGTCAATGTTTCTCACAGTGAGCAGACCTCCGCCCCCCAATAGGGATGGTCAGATTCCCCCACAAAGGTTGAAGCGGGGTCTCCGAGAGACCGGGGAGGAAACTCATCAAAAATAGCTTAGTCACCCCGGAACAGGATCCACCGCGACTCCCGATTGGCTGAAGAGGTGACAACAAGGCGGAGGGGGGTTGAAAATGTATCGTATCTGGGTACCGAGTACAATACCTTCACGAGGCTATTAAACCATGACATGACACCAAATTCTCACTGGAATTGGAGCTCTCTAGCGTTTAGAATCCATTCTAGGCCTTTGGATCAAATTTATTAAAGAGAAGCAGAACTGATAGGTTCCGCCCCTTGTTTGGCAACCTTACAAACAATCAGATTCAGCTAAACAGAAAAGCCAGCTATGACCGAGGCGTCGAATGGGACGGGTGGAGCTCCCCCCGACAGCCCCTCTCACCCAATAACCATGCTGGCGTTTGTCACGCGGAATGAAAATCTGTCGGTCGATGAGTTCCAGAAACATTGGATAGAGAAGCACGGACCCCTGGTGGGAGGATTCCTGTCATCCAAGGGAGTTCTCAGTTATCGGCAGGTACGTTGAATTCGGCTACCACCTTATCTGCAAAAGATTAATGAAACCGTTGTTGATCCCCCCCCCCCCCCCCCATCTAGTTCCACATCGACCAGAGCAACAATCCCCTCGGTTACGACGGGGTCGTTCAGCTGCAAATCCCGTCTCTGGAGACCTGGGCCGAGATCTCGTCAGACAAATACTACCAGGAGGTCGTCGTGCCGGACGAGCAGAGGTTCTTCCAGGCGGCCAAGATGGTCATCCTCACGGGGAAAAACTATTCGGTCGTCGAGGGCGGGCAGTATGTGCTGAACAAGTAGCTCGACGAACTTGAAATGAAAGAATATTGAAAAGAGGTAGCTTAATGCCGAACCGAAGGGGCCATGCTATGCCGGTTATTGGTCTAAATAGTGCATGTTGTGGCGACTGGTCTTACTTGGTCGTTACTGAAATGCTTCCTAGAAATTCATAAATGAATGCTCTAATTCGACTTATCCGAGTCTTACGAAAGTGGCTTGGTAATACAGCTTGAATGGTAAAATGATTTATGAGCAGCGGACAGAGAGTATCAAGCAGCCCGCTTGCGGAGTGAGTGATATGTCCTTCTTCCGAGTCCTAAGTCCGCAGGATTCGGCTGCCAATAGATGGTGCCGGCATCATGACAAGGACAAGCCGAATTGGCTCCAGAATCCCTCTATCCGACATCGAATTGCTCCAAATCTATTTTGTTTTATTTATCGTTCGTGATATTTTCTCCTTTGCATATTCTCCGTCGCCATCTCGAATACCACCATCTCAGGCTGAGGTCGGGGCCAGATCGCAACCATCACCCGCGCACACGCAAAGATGCTTGACCCACTCACGTCCCAGCGACCACCGACGGTCACGGAGATGCCATACGATGAAAGCGTCATGTTTACCATATCCACGTTTATTCCTTATATCGGTTGCATCCTCTTCGCACTATACCAACTGATATTCCGATTCGATCCTACAAGCACCCTCTTCATGCTCGGCGGATCGCTGTGCGTGGTGCTGGACCCATTGATCAACGCGCTCGGGTGCTGCTATTTCGCCAAAACCGACTTGATATTGCACGCCCACGATGGTCGGCCGATCCCTTGGTTCATGTTGGCTTCGTACGGCACATTCAACGGCGGGTTTGGATACTGGTGGTTTACCAAGTTCCGGAGCCAAACGACACCCATGACGGCCCGCGGCGTGTGGAAGCTGTGGGCATTTGCCTACGTCTCGAATCTATTCCTGGAGTACCCAGTCAACCAATGGGGTCTGCAGTCATACTTTGGATATCAACCCTTCAAAGTACTCGGAATGCCTTTGTGGTTTCCCGCGGTGAACTCGACGATGCCGATTGTGGCGGCTTCCATAATCAACGTGCTAACAAAGGCCGAAGTCTTGAAGGGTTGGAAGAAACTTGCAATCATCTTGATCATGCCGTCGGCGGATATTCTGGCAAATGGGGCAATGGCCTGGCCAGTATGGATTGCCTTAGCCGTGGACGAGGGATACCATATTTCCTACCCGATGGGAGTTGTCACTTTTATCTTGGTCGCAATCTCTCTAACACTCGTTGGCCTGCAGTTCGACGGCCCTGAGGGTTCGTCGAACAAAAGTAAAGGCAAACAGAATGGCAAAGCCAGGTGACTCGTCTATGGATGGTCGTGAAACCAGCAGACCCTACATTCCTTCTTCGGGATATGCGAAAAGGCTATAGAAGGAGCTCATGGCGAAGGTTTCATTGTTGAAACCGAAGGATGAAGTGACCACGCATGCAGTGGTTCTGACATGGGTGCAGCGGTCCCTGACTTACCTTTGGTAAGTTGCGACTGCGATCTTTATTCCGAGGACATCGAACCTCACTTAAATAAAAAGTCAGATCTAAGTCTCATGTTTCTGTAAGGTTGAAGTAGATTCAAGGATGCAAGTTGCTTCCATGCCTTTAGCCCTGATAAGTGAGCCGATTAAAGGCCAAGTCTGAAGTCACTACTTCCTTCCGGACGCCGGATCAATGCTTAATGGTTGACAATCTCTCTATTTGGAAATCTTCTGGCTGAACTCTTTTCCCTACAACAAAGTCATATTGCCTGAATTTGCCTTTCACGACTCTACATTCCACTACCAACAATGGCCACACGAACGACACCGTATAAAATCGCCATCTTCGGTCCTGGTGATGCCGGTTGTATAGTCATCCGCGAAGCCACTCGCCTACCAGAATTCCAGGTCGTCGGGGCCTTTGTGTTCTCCGACAAGAAAAAAGGTGTTGATATTGGAACTCTGGCGGGCATCGAGCCCCTTGGGGTCAAGGCTACTGGCGACTGGGACGAGTTCCTCAAGATCGACTGTGACGTGGTGGTCCACACGGCCTTAGACGCTCCCTTCCTGGACCCGCTCGCTGACTTTGTGAGACTTCTTGAAGCGGGTAAGAACGTCGTTACAAGCCATCCATACAGTTATCTACCCGCTCGAGATGCAGCTTTTGGAGAGGGTATCAAGAATGCGTGCAAACGAGGCAACGCGACGTTCCATGCCACAGGGCTCAATCCCGATCTGATGACCCAACGGGTAGTTACTTTGCTATCTGGCCTGTCCAACGACATCACGCGCATCGAGCTGGAGGAATACTTCGACTGTCAGGATCAAGCGAATGCGAGCGTGTTGCAAGTCATTGGCCTCGGAGGAGCCATTGCGGAGACGATCGATGAGAACAGTCCGGCTATCTGGTACCAGAAACATTACAACTATCAAATGATCCATCATGTTGGACGGGAGTTCGGGGTCAAGATTGATCGAATCGAAGCGACCAAGCAGTGCCTCGAGGCACCGGAAGACATTATCCGGCCCGTCATGACCGTCAAGAAAGGCCAGACAGCCCTCATCTCATATACTTCCACGGGCTATACCGACGACGACAAACCGTTCATCAGCATCAAAATCACTTACTTCTTTAGTCAACAGATGAAGCCGGCCAAGCTTGAAAAGGACAACGTATACATCGTCACTATAGAGGGGAGACCATCTTCACGCACGGTTCTGAGTCTGAAGCCCTCGTATCTGACTGACGCCACGACGATCGAGGGCGAACCTGCAGCTCCGGCCTACCTGACCTTTGCGGTGGCTTTACTCCAAGCGGTGCCAATGGTTGCGGAAGCTCCTCCGGGCTTCAAGGCTCCTGATGTACCTGAAGTACATTGGAAAAAGGACCAGAGAATGCATGTGGCTTCATGCTACAATGAGATCTAGTCAGGGAGGAGAGCATTGCTTGCAAGGGTAGACGGAGGAAGGAGAAGGAGATATTTTACTATTTGCTATCGTTTACGGGGTGACAGAGAAAACCCCCTGGGCTTGCCTGCTGGATTGGAACCTTGTACCACTGCAGCCTTGGGTATGGGCTGCGAAGCCTGACCCTTACAAGCTGAGATGACGCTACGATTGCGGGAGCACTCCCTTTGCAGATCCTCCTCTGCTCCTTCATCTGGGTAAGGGAAGGTTCGTGCCTGCGAGGCTGTTACCCCTTTTGGGCTTAGCTAGTGAGACCACATAGACACCAATAGTACACTTGAACTAGACCTCTTCTGCACCACCAACTCCGCTGTTAGAATAAGAGATTGAGATTGAGATTTCTGCTCCGGGTCCGGAATGCTAAAGAGATGGTCAGATCCGACTGCTTCCAACCAAGAAAAACAAAGTATTGGGGGTTTATTACCCACGACAATCGGGATTGCACCATTACAACGAACGCCACTGAGTAGTCTCCCCTGATCCTAACATCCCCTCTCCCTCTCCCTCAATCTATTGGTGCTGGATGACACAAGAGATGGCGACGTCTCCAAAACTCACCCACGTCTTCACCCTCAACATGACCGGTCCCGCTGGGTTTCCGCACGTTGAAACAAAACACTCGGATCTGTGTGTCGCTCACGGTACGTCACCCCATCCCATCCCATCCCCTTCCCCTCCCGGCTGCTTCTTGCTTCCGGGAGCTCCGGGACCGGCGTCCCCGTTTCTATCGTTTTGTGGAAATTGTCAAAAGTCACAAGCGGCGGCGCATCTATTGTACTAACCCGATTCTACACGCGCGCGCGGATTCTCAGTGACGGAAGGCACCCTCGAACTCCCCGACGGCCAAAAGATCGCCAAAGTGGTCACGGCGTCGGACTGGATGAGGATCAAAGGGAACATCGTGTCCATCGACGCGCGGGCCAGTGCTCTCTCGGACGACGGTTCGCTGAACATGGAGTTTGCCTACACCGGAAAGATGCACGTGACGCCAGACGTCTTCAAGACCTTTTCAGGAGAAGAAAAGTGCGAGGTGGACTTTGGTCAGCTGTACTATTACACTATCCCGAGGATCTTCTCCCGGAGTGAGGAATATGCCTGGGTTAACGACACTGTTTTTGTGGGGCAAGGGAAGATTGGTGTGAAGGAGATGGGGAAGGTCACTATCTCGTATCAGATATTCCGCGTAGGCTGAGCGGAGATGAGACTGTGTATTTCAGTATGTGAATAAGGGACACCTGCTCCGTAGAGCGTGTGTGTCGGAGACTGGAATGGCAGAACCTTTGCTCGACGACCTCCTTGCTCGCCACTTGCAGCCGCCATCACTTGTGTGTATGCCTCTCCCTCTCTCACATACACATTCCAGACAAAAGAAATGGCAAGGTCAGTAGCGCTCGCTAGTCAAGCTCTTCTGCAGTCTAGCATGTCCGCCTGACCCGACCCCAATGTGGGTTTGTCGACCCAGCCGTCGCACGCAGCATTCTTTTCCGGCCGTCTCTGAGTGACACCAAGGCTAGAAAGGGATGAAGAGGGTCTGGCGAAGGGGTGTCGAAAGCGCTCCGGAACATAACAGTCCCAGTGCATGGGCCCATGACCCTTTGTGGAAGTGAGATGACCCACCGAGCCAGGTTCAAGCGCTGCTGTAGGAATAGACTCGTCCTGAAAAGAAGACTTTTAGCGCGTCCCACAAGGTTGGGAATCATCCGGTGCGGCGGAGCCTTGTTTCCCAGATCCCGACGCCCACCACTTGGCTGGGGTCCCCAGGGGGATGGTCTCTGCGGAGCAACCTGCTTGTTATAAGCCGGGGAGATCCCAGTGCAGGGTCTCTGCTAGAAGAGAGAGATATCGTATGATCCTGCTAGCTTTGACTGACTTTGTTGACTTTAATCTGACAGACAAATCGAGCTATGCAGACTAAAAATCAGGCGGAGGAGAAGACCGAGGGCTTTCAACATGCCTCCCACGTCGGACACTCTGATATGCAGATCGAACACCTGGATGCCGACTCTGACACCGACTCCATGGCAGAGGAAGCCAGAGGAGTCGAGGACTCGGCGGTCCTGGGACGCCACTACTTTCGCCATTGGCGTCTGGTTGGGTCGATGGCGGTATGTGCAATCGATCTACCCAGATATATTTGATTTCGCAACGCTGATAAAGACCCAGGCTATGGTTCTGAGCTACGCTGCGGGGTTTTGGGCATATGTGATGCCTTCATTCTCTCTGAGCGTCATTCTCGCGGATCTTGGTACGCAGACTGGCACGTATTCAGCAGCTTCATGAGTAACAGAAAGCACAGGCCCGAGTCCGAATTCAATCTGGATCATTCTCTCTTTGACAATTTGCCAGACCGTCTCCTTCACCATTGTCGGTCGTTTGTCGGACCTGTTTGGTCGTCGTTGGTACCAGATCATCTTCGGCACCATCGCTTTCGTCGGATACATCGTCGCCAGTCGAGCAAAGACAGTCAACACGCTGATTGGGGCTGTAAGTCTTTGGTGCATCAATCACTTCTCGTACACTTTGGGCTGACTGGTGTGGGCAGGGCGTCCTCATGGGATTTGGATCAGCCACTCAGACCCATTGTGCCGCCATCGGGGCAGAGCTCTTGCCAAACAAATATCGCTATCTGTACTTCGGCGCAGTCGCTTTTCTCTTTGGCCCTCTGTCAGCAATTGCGCCTGGTATTGGTATGTATATCTTCCCGAGACAGAATTTATTGGTGCAGGCTGCGAGATGCTGATTGATTCTCTTAGCACTGACCTTGGCCACACACACTTCCCAAGGCTGGCGATCAATCTACTATCTCCTGGCCGGCACAACCTTTGCCGCAGTCATTCTGTTCATCATCTGCTACCATCCTCCCAAGTTCGATCAACTGCATACCCGGCATACCAAATGGCAGTTCATCAAGTCGCTTGATTACGTCGGCTTGATCCTCTTCTGCGGTGGAGTGGTACCGTTCCTCTTCGGAATTTCGTGGGGTGGACAGAGATATCGTATGTATGGACCTTCCAGGTTGGCACACCGAACGCTGACGACTGGTAGCCTGGGAATCGTACAAGGTCATTGTGCCTATCGTGGTCGGCGGGGTTGTCATGATCGTTTTCGTCCTATGGGGTGAGACTGAGACTTTGAGAATGACTGTCCAGGAAGGTACTGACCATTTGCCAGAATACTTTGGAAAGCCAGCCCTGCCTCTGCTTCCACTTCGCCTGTTCAGGAGCCGCAACTTTAACTGCCTGCTGGCATGCTCTTGTTTTGGCTCCATGGTCTTCTACGCCTTGTGCATCCTTTACCCACAGCAGCTGGGGTACGTTTTTGGCAGATCACCAAGTCAGGCTGGTTGGTACAGCGTAAGTAGAAGACCTCTTTTGTTTCCCATTTTCTCATCCTGACTTGGAACAGTGCACAATCACGGCCGGCGTGCTAGCTGGGCAGGGAATGGCTGGGTTCACGGTGAAATTATTCAAATACATAAAGTGGCAGCTTCTCCTGTCCTGCATTATCTTCACGGCCTTTGTTGGCGCCAGCGCCGCAGCGAGCTTGACTCTTTCAATGGCCGCTGTTTTCAGCATCCTTGTCGGCCTCGGCATCGGATACATGGAAATCATCACGATAAGTGGTGCACCTCTCATGGTTGACACCAAAGACTTTGGAATTGCCATTGGTGCCCTTTTCAGCATCCGGACGTGCTTCTCCACAATATCAGGTTTGTTTCTTGTCGATGAGCCTTTATCAGATATGATGAAGCTGACAATGGTCCTAGACGCGGTGTATGTCACAATCCTCAACACTCAAATCACCAAGAACTTGCCCAAGTACGTCATTCCCGCCGCCATGAAGGCCGGCCTAACTCAGAACGCGGCCATCCAGCTGGTCCAGGACATCGCTGCTGGCGATCAAGCGGCGCTCGCCACAATTCCAGGCATTACTCCTCAGGTCATCCAGAGTGCCACCGATGCTGCTCACACTGCCTTTTTCAAGTCGTTCCAGATGGTGTACTACTCGTCGATCGCTTTTGCTTTTTGTGCTGTGATTGCCGCGCTCTTGGTGGAGGACAAGTTGCTCGAGGATGCCATGACTGACAGAGTTGCTCGAAAACTGCAAGGAATCAAGACTGAGCAGCGCGAAATCAAGGTCGTCGCGGCCTAAATTGGTAACAAATACTACCCTCGGGTCTGTCACATGTATTAGGAGGAAGCTACTTGACTTGAACGTGGGAGAAGGTGAAATTCGCAGTGATATCATGGAAGGAGAACTAGCTATGGAACGAGAGGAGTCTATATTGGCATGAAAGTGGGAACAGCCCCTTGGCAATCCATCCACTAATAACCCCACAGCCGTACTATAGCGACAAGTTCCTCACTCGCAGTCGCGTGCTACAGTATGTAGCGATCACAGTCTAACACCTTGACAATCTAATATTCCTCTCCTCTCTTCTCTTCTCTCTATCTCTCTCTCTCTCTCTCTCTCTCTTGTGCATCCAATTGCGGGCGAGCTCCTCCTGTAGCACAGGCTCGCTAAGAAGGGGAATTAACGACATCATTCTGTTCTCGAGCCCCTGATACGCTGTATAATATCCGACGAAAAATCAAACCGATGACACACCAAAGATAGATGGCCGGACGGACAGGTCCGACTATGTACAGTGACATTCAACAATCACCACCAAATTAGCTGGTGCTTTCTACCCTGAGGCCGTGAGCGGACGAGTGGCAGCAGTACGGCCTGCTCGACGACCACTGAAGAGGGCATCGGCCAGTGCCATCCCACTGACGAATCCGCCCGAACAAACCCCAACGGCTGCTCTCCCGGCGGCGTACAGGCCGGGCACCGCGCTGCCATCCTCGCGCTTGACGTTTCCCGTCTGCTCGTCCACGACCAATCCGCCCATGGTGATTGACTGCGCCGGGTTGAACTTGTTCCCGAGAGATACGTTGACGGCGTAGAAGGGACCCTTGGCAACCGGCCGGAAAATATCTTTCAACTTGCCCAGCTTGTCTGCCTGGCCTGAGAGGCTGGCGCTGTTGTACTCCTCGATCTGCGCTCTCAGTCCCTGCGGAGGGACTTGGATCTTCTTCGCAAGCTTCTCCAGCGATCGAGCTCGTCGAGTACCGCCGAAGAAGATGTTGATGAGTGCCGGGGCTCCCCAGAGCAGGAAGTTCCCTCCCGTGAAGAAAGACTTGTACACGCCGTACCAGAAGTCTCGGGATTCGAGGATCAGATAGCCCCTCCCGTCTGGCTGGTTGAGCATCTCTGTACCGATGAACATCGCATATGCTCCTTCATTGATGAAGCGCTTGCCGTGAGCATTGACCAGTACTCCATTGGCGTAGACGTTGGGAGGTACCATTGTCCTTGCAACACTGATATGGCTCAGCAGTGACGATACGCCCCCTACTGACGCTCCCAAAGCAACGCTGGCTCCATCGTCGCTGATGGAGCCCAGCGGCAACGTCTTTTCGTAATGCTTTGCGAGAACGGGTTGGTATTTCTCGACCAGTGACAGGTTACGATTATAGCCGCCAGAGCACAGCACAACGCCGTGTCGGGCCCTGATTAGCTTCCGCTCGGTCACCTGGGCCTCCATGTCTGTCGCCTCGTTGATGGCCTTCCTAGACCGACCAGCATTGAAAGGTACCCAAGGGTGCACCGTATTGAAGAGTTTGTCGTGTTGTTTCCAGAGGCCCCGAGGGAGAGTGAGCACCTCGGCACCGACAACACGACATTCACGGTCGACAACGAGCCGAGTCACTTTTGTGTGAGGTAGGAACCTGACTTTTGCCTTTTCCGCAGCGTCGCGGAGGGTCTTGTACAACTTGGAGCCTCCAAAGCCTTTACCCGCCGCCATGTGGCCGCGTGGCGCCGGTTTGGCCTTTTCCGCATACGAGGGCATGGCCTCATTGCCCGAATAGTAGATCTTGTACGGCGCGGGTGGAAATGCTGTCTTTTCGGTAAAGACTGGGCCACCGTACGGCAGGCCATGCTGGACCACCCATTCGACATTGCCAGCACTGTCCTGACAGAATTTTCGCAACGTCTCCGGTTGAACAGGACAGCCCTCGGTGTTCAGGTACTTGAACATCTCCTCGGGTGAGTCATTGACACCATTCTGGCGCTGGGCTTCCGTACCCCCGGCGTAAATGACGCCGCCGCTGAAGAATGTCGCACCGCCATTTCCAAAACGGTCGACCGCGATCACCTGGGCGCCGGACTCGCGAGCTTGGAGGGCAGCTGCGGCACCGGCAGCACCAAACCCTACGACCAGGACGTCCGTCGTCTCAGACCACTTTGTTGCTTCGACGTCGTCAATGATCACCGGTGATGGCACTTCCAAGTCAGGTGGCAGGTCGTCCTTGCGAAAGGGAGCAAGGCCTGTATCATGGTCGGTTGCCCGTGCAGGAGATAGAGACCCAACCGATCGCCCAATGACTCTCGGGGCGAAACATTTCGTTGTCGTGAGACTCCGGCGACAGCGAGTTGGGTTATATTTGGAAAAGACATTGGGCAACTTCAATACCTCCTCGCGAGACAGGACAGGTTGTACCGGTGGATGGAACCTCAGCCTTGTCAAGATACCACGAATAGCCATCCTCGAATGGGGGGCGGAGAGGTCTGCGCCGATCGCGATCTGTCGTGGAGAGCAAGAAGAGATCTTTCAATTGCAGAACGAGTCATCAAAACAAGACCATCAAGGGACAACCCGAGTAGCTACCCCGGGGTTCAATGGGCAAAAGGCCAATTGTGGGGATCAATCCCGGGGTAGAAAGGCCAGCAACCCTATTGGTCGTCGGAGGTCGGAACGTGAAGTATCATAGCGGCAGGTCGTCAGGAGGGAGGCCAACAAACGGCTTCCTGGCGAATATTTCGAGGAGTCGTGTGGGAATACCTCGTGGCAATGCCTGGGCGTATGCCTAAGATCTCGCATTTGGACCTGGTGTTGGCGATCTTGTTTCTGTCAACACTGTGCTGCTGACTCCCTCCCTAGTGAAACCAAGCCCCCTTTCTGACCTGATTTACTCGCGATTGACGTCGAGGTGTATTCCCTGATCCTCCAACAAAGGTCCGAGGTGTTTTGGGTGTAACGGGGAAGCGCAGCGCTATAGGACTCATCCTAGAGAAGATGAAGATCCTATGTCGTACCAAGTTCGGCAGTCCCCTGGCTGATAGATAAATATATACTGGGTAAAGAGACGATGGGGGGGCATACATAATAATAGACTTTTACAAAGTACATTTACAGGGTCGGTCATCCATAGACTAGGGGAGCCTGCTCTGTCTTGTCGTTGCGCTTTAATCTGATTCAGCGCCGACACCAACTCCCCATCGTCCCACCTCCAACATGGCCTCCTCTCCACCCTCTGCCAGCACTCCCTTCCCTTCGCCGAGTAAGCCCTCGAGGCAGAGCCAGGGATCCCTCCCACCGCCCCATTTGAGGACCTCCTCTTTGAACCTCTCTCCGCTGGCACGGTCAATTGCGCCGCTGTCCCTGCCGCTCCGGAAAACATTTGTCCAGACACGCCGCGCAATCGCCGTGTCAAACAAGTACGAATAGTAACTCGCGCCATAGCCGTGGAGGTGGCCGAAGAATCCTTGCCACGAGGTGCCCCATGGCTCGGGCACGGAGCCGTGCTTGTTCCACACATCGTAATATACGGCGGTAGAGTCGTAGCGCCCGCTTCGGAGAGCTTGGACAGGTCCGTCTCCATGGTACACCTGATCCAGGATACTCATGAGAATCTGGCTCTCGTTGTTCCAGGCGCCCTGTCTCGAAGCTTCCTTTGACCCTTCCTCGGCAAGAATTTGAAGCATCTCCTCGGGCATGGGAGCATCGGTCTTCCAGTGTCTGGCAAAAAGTTTCAATACCGCTGGGTCTGTGGCAAAGTTTTCCATCAGAACCGAGGGCAGTTCGGAGAAATCTGTTGCTACTCGTGTTCCCGAGATGCCTTGCATGGAGGTGCGGCCGAGAACGCTGTGGATAGCATGGCCCATTTCGTGAAACAGCGAGACGAGGCTATACTGGGAAAGCAACGCAGGTTCGCCGGCTGCACTGGATTGTGGGAAGCCGCATACTAGTGCGATAATTGGGATTTGATGATGAGAGGTCACGCCTGACGTCGGGTTGGTGCTCACAAGTGTCGGCATGCCATTGTTCAGTGGCTCATTGCGCTCTGCGCATTCACGGACTTCTTCATCTGAGATTTCTCGTGAGCACAGAAGTGTGAAGTGAGCCGGGTGACTTTGTTTCCCAGGCCGTGAAAACAGATCGCAATACATGGTGGCAATGTGTTCTTGTTTGTCGGTGTACACGTCCAATCGTCTGACGTCTGGATGCCAGACTTCGCCTTGCTTGGTCTCCCTGGGCACAAATCGGACTCCATACAGGGATTCGAACAGGCTTGACAGACCCTGCATGACATGGCCGATTGCAAAATAGAACTTGGCACTTTCCCGTAAGCGCGACTTGGATGTTCGAGGACCTGCAGCTCCCTCCAGTTGGTCCAGCTTCGCCAGGAGATAGTGGTGATCCCAAGGATTCAATTCTTCAGCACCTTGGTCCATCTTGCGCTTGAGCTCGAGAAGCGGAGCGAGTTCCTTTTGTACATGTATCTTGTTGTTCGCATTGACAGATTCTAGAAAGTTGTTCACAGCCTCTGGTGTCTTGGCCATTTTCTCTATCAGAGTCATCTGTGCGAAGTTGTCGAATCCCGTGAGTTTGGCAAGTTGGGCACGACGTAGCAGCAACTTTTCAAGAGTTGTAATGGTCTTTTTGGCAGCGCTTCTCTCAGCAATGTACATTTCCTTCCTCGTCGCAGGATTTTTAGCGGAACCCAGGACCATTTTGGACCATTTACTCGATACAGGAATCTGTACTTTTTCGTGGTTCTTGTAGCCTTGGACCAATGTAGGATCTATACCATCCAATTGGCCAACAGTGAAAGACTCCCAATCCCTCGCATGGCTCATCTGGTTAATGAAATCGGTTCCCAGTTGGACGATATCATTCGACAGAGAGACAAACTGCCGTCTCTGGTTATCGGGAAGGTGAATGCCCGATTTCGCAAAATCCCTCATCAGGAGCACGGCAACCATCTTCTCCTCTTCACTCCATTGGGACTGAACCTCTGGCATATCCCAAGCCCTCTTAAGCTGCTGGTTCAATCCCGTGGTTGTGTTGAGCTCGTTCATGTACTGAAACATGAGCGAATATGAGGCAGAGGCTGAAGCGGCCACATCGTCACTCGGGTGTATGCTCCTGATGAAGTCGGAGAGATCGATGACTCGGCATAGCAAGTCGCTCAGTCTATCAAGGTCTTTAGGTATGGCTCGGTATTGCTCCGGTGTGGAAGCGGCAAGCGTCCTCTCTACCAATCTCTTGCATTGTATCACCGCAACCTCTGCAAACTTTTGAAAGCCCTGAGGAAGGGTGAGGAACGTGTTCCCTATCAAGCCCGACCTTTGCGTGGATGATGTCTGTGAAAAGGTCCTTTGGTTGAAGACCTCACGTAGGAGGGCATTCTCGCCGCTGTTGCCGGAGGAAGACGCGTGAAGCTGGGGAGGGGTGAAGGTGTTATCGTCGGCCACGGCTATGCCGGCGGCGGTAGAATTGAATCTCTGCTGCCTGCGCAGGCATCTGGAGCAGGTCCATGGCTGCCGCCGCAGAGCCTTCTGCATGCCTAGAGGGCTGAGGTGAGTGAAATGAGCATGTGCTACCCGTGTAACGCATCAAGTAATGTTGCACTACCTAGTGTGAGGAGGATATTTCAATCAACTAAGCTATGTGCTCAGCGGTAGTAAGGGAGGAAATCTGCACCTAGCTAACCGTGACCCGCACCCTAGCGACGCCGCTTTTAAAACCACCCCTCACACCCCATCACCCTCGGCCCTTACCCTTAACTCCCTCCTACACTCTCCTATGCATTAGCGATAGTATATCTTAGGGCCTATAAGATATACATATATATACTAACTTTAGGAATACGATATAGATCTACACCCGATAGTGTGACTAGTTCGATTTCGGTAGTTATCATCTACTCCAAGGACGGCCTATAAGTAGATAGGCAGAGAATAGTTAGGTTTAAGTATCAATACTCGGTACAGGACTCGAAGCATATGAGAAGCCTTGCGAGGAGGTTGGGGTTTCGATCTGTGCTGGCCATCCTCTTGGCAGCTTTGTAGTGTTTGTGTCAGTAGTTCCTGACAGTTTCAATTCCTGGGCTAAGTGGCCGCTCGATCATGTCTCGTTCTTGAATCGCCAGGCTTCTGGCTCAGCTCAGGCGTCCGGGGCAAATAGTTTCCCTGGGCAGCTACACAGTATAATGGCTGGATCATCGGCTTTTGCAACACACTATGAACGGGAAAAGATCGCTATAAGAAACAGAGCTGGTACAGTGGTCTCCTCTGCATCGAGTCTGTAAATGCCACTTCCGCGCGTTTCCCAATCAGTGGTCTAGCCAGCCGTTTGCAAGGCCGGATATCCTTCAAAACCTCCTTGAATGACCTCGTCCAGCGCCTTGCGATAGTTGCCCAGGCCGCCAAAGAAGAACCGGGTCGAGGTGACTTTGCCGGGGACGTTGGAGCCAAAGATCCACGACTGAGCCTCGCGGAAGATGGAGCCCTCGGCCAGGTGCTCGCAGACCGCCACCCACCGATCCTGGGCCTCTTGTGACGCCTCTACTTGGGGCACTCGCCGACGCTCGGCCTCGGCGATGACGCGCGTAATGAACTCGACGTGCGTCTCGATCAGGACCGGGATGTTGGAAAACGCGCCCTGTGGCCCGGTCACCAGGAACAAGTTGGGAAACCCGGCGACCGAGACGCCCATGTACGCCCGTGGCCCGCTGTTCCGCCACTGGTCTTGCAGCGACAGCCCATCCCGGCCGGTGATGTTGAGGCGCAGGTAGTTGCCGTCGACGGCCTCAAACCCCGTGGCGAAGACGATCACATCGAAGGCGAAATCGCGGCCATCCGCCGTCCGGATGCCGGTCGAAGTGATCTCCTGGATGGGACTGGCCTGGAGATCCACGACGTGGACGTTGTCCCGGTTGAATTGCTGATAGTAGCCGCCATCACAGAGCGGCCGTCGCGCATAGGGTTGTCTCGGCAGTAAGAGCTTGGCCTTCTCCGGGTCCTTGACCGTCTGTCGGATTTTCCCCTTGATAAATTCGCAGGCCGCCTCGTTGGCCCGGCGGTTGACGGTCAGATCAGCGAAGCCCCCGAACATGAACCGAAAGCCGTTGCCGCGTTGCCAGAGGCCCTCGAAGATTTGTTGCTGTTGGTCCGGCGTGAATTCATCGAAGCCCTTGGTGGCCTCGTCGAGGCCGAATCCACACACCGAGGCCTTGTTCTTCTCGATGATGGCGTCGTAGTTGGCGTTGATTCGGTCCCGGTATTCTGCGGTCACGGGTCCGTCCCCACTCGGGACCGAGTATTGGGGGTTTCGCTGGAAGCTCACCAGCTCCTTGACCTTGGAGGCGATTTCCGTAATCACCTGCACGCCCGTCGAGCCCGAGCCGATGACGGCGATGCGCTTACCCGTCACTTCAAGATCCGGATTCCATGAGCCTGTGTGGACCAGGTCACCGTGGAAGGTCTCGAGTCCACGAATGTCGGGAAAGTTTTGTTTGGAGAGAAGCCCGAGAGCGGTAACGAGATAGCGAACGCGGATGGTCGAGCGGAAGCCGTCGGCCGTCTTCACATCACAGATCCACGTGGAACTGCTCTCGTCCCAGTTCGCCGCCACCAACTCGGTGTGGAACTGCATGTACTGCTCCAGATCGTGACGCTTAACCACATGTTGGAGATAGCGCAACACCTCGGGCTGTTTGACGTAGTGATGGGACCATGGGTAGGTTTGGAGATCCTCCTTGTCCCAGGTAAAGCGGTACAGATAGCTCTCTGTGTCGCTCATAGCCCCAGGATATCGGTTCCAGTACCAGGTACCGCCGACACCACCGGCAGCGTCGATGACCTTGACCGTGAGGCCGAGTTTTCTCAGCGAGTAGCATTGATAGATGCCCCCGAATCCGGCTCCCACAACCAGGGCATCGTAGTCCGCCTTGATCGCCATGTCGAGATATCCTCTTCAACCTGTGGTAATGACTACCAGAAGAGGGATCTTCTGGGGGACTAGGTCTATGTCAATGGTCATCAGCTGGCGCTGGCTAGACAATCCCAGGACATGAGGCTGAAAAAAAAAACACGCTTTGTCGTTGACCACTCTTCCACGCTTATAGAAACTTGGACCGTTCATTCCCCCCGTGGGGTCAGGTCCTTTTGCTATCTCTTCGCAATCGGACACATTCAGGTGCACACACGGAATCATTGATCTAGTGGCCGCGGAACCATTAGCCGAATTGAATCTTGTAGTATCTGTGTCCCCAAGATCATAACACCGAACACCCCCGACGTCTTTCCCGAGACCATTTCACGACTGTCCGGGAATCAACTATACTTGGGCTGTTGTATTTCCGTGCCAAGACGATAGCCCACATTCTCCGCATGAACGGTTGTCCATTTCTAGACGGTAAACATGTGTTTGTGCGAAACTGCCTTTCTAAAGAGAAGAAACGTTCTGTCAAAAGTTGCGGCATCACCAGGACCAACCTGATTTCATGGGCCGTGGTACATCTCATTGCCTCTGCTATCTGGCGCCGCCACCGTCGCAGCAGCCAGCAAGTCTAAAAGAATGAAGAAATGATGGATACAGCATCAGGACCGGAATTCCTATTAGGGATGCCCCTTCTTCTCCGGCACGTGCCAGGCAGAGATATCGTCTCCCAGGAGGTAGGCCTCAGTGGTTCCATCTGAGGCCAGGGTCTCCACAACCCCGGATATCGGCTCTCGCGGACTCAGCATCAGTTCATGCGATGCTATTTTGATGCCCTATTGTCTTCTCTTGCCATCCATGTGATGCTTTGGTAGCCCTGTGTTCTTTGTCAGGCTGCCACTGCCATCATGCCGCTGCCCACCACTGGCGACTATGCACTTTCTGCCCAAGATGTCGTGTCGTTCGCCTTTGGCAAGCCGGACTACGACCTCGACCGTCCCGTAAGTCTCTGACCATTTCCACTGATCCGACTGACGTGGTCGGTTTGTCGCCAGGTCTTCATCGACGCCACCGATCCTTCGCACTCGCTGTCCTACCGTCAAGCCAAAGATCTAGTCCAGAAACTGATCGCCGGCTTCCACGCGGAGGGGCTGAACGTCGGCGACCGGGTCTGCATCCACGCCTACAATTCAATCTATTACCCCATCATATGTCTGGCGATTGTGGGATGTGGCGGCGTGTCCGTGGGGACGAATCCCACGTACACCTCCCACGAGCTCGCCCACGCGCTGAAACTCGCCCGGCCCAGGTTCGTGGTGACCGAGTCGGAAGCGGCACCCAGTTTGCAGAAAGCCTTGTCATCCACAGGGCGCAGTAAGACGACGCCGGTATTCTTGCTTAATGCTCCGGCCGGGATAGGGGGGGACAACGGGGGACAGCACTCACCTCGAAGCTGGCAGACTTTGCTGAACCACGGTTCACGACCCTGGAAGACGTTCCAAGACAGGACGACCGCCATCGAGACGACGGCATGTCTCTTCTACACCTCAGGAACGACCGGGCAGCCTAAGTGCGCCATGACCTCGCACCACAACCTGGTAGCCGAGCATCAGCTCTTCTACGAAAGAAACCCCCGACGTTACCCGTTTCGAGCCGTCCTGTCGATGCCCTTTTTCCACATCGGCGTCCTCCCCACCGTACTGATCTCACAGCTCCGCGAGGGCCGTCACTGCTACATCATGCGTCGGTTCGAGCTCGAGCCGTTCCTCGCGTACCACGCCCGATACGACGTGACCGAGGCATTTTTAGTGCCGCCGATGATTCTGCGGATCGTGATGAGTGGCCTCTCGGATCCGGCCTCGCCAAATTATAAATATAGTCTGCGCTCGGTCAAGAATGGGTATTCCGGCGCGGCGCCTTGTTCACCCGAGGTGTTGAAACGATTTCAATCACTGCTCGCTAAGGGTGCCACCATGTCGCAGATCTGGGGTATGACCGAAACGACGAGTGTGGCTACCACCGTGCCGTCGGATCTGTTAAGCGCCGCGGCGGCGGGCCAGATTGACGTCGCGGGCACCGTCGGCACCGCCCTTCCCACTCTCACATTAAAGCTGGTGGATGAACAGGGCGAGGACGTCAGCAACGGTGGCCGGGGCCAGTTATGCGTCAAGGGTCCCACGGTCACCCAGGGGTATTTCGAGAACGAGAATGCCACCCGCGAGAGCTTCGACTCGGACGGCTACTTCCACACCGGAGATGTAATCGAGGTTGATGTCAAGTCGGGCTTGCTCTCCGTCGTGGACCGAGCCAAGGAGTTGATCAAGGTCCGAGGGTTTCAGGTAGCCCCTGCCGAGCTGGAAAGTACCCTCCTCTCGCACCCGAACATTGTAGATGCCGGCGTGGTGGGAGTGAAGCTGTCCGACGAAAATCAAGAAGAAGAAGTGCCGCGGGCGTATGTGGTCCGACGAGATGGAGTAGATGCCGCACAGATGTTGACCGAAGAAGACGTTCAAGCCTTCGTCCGCGCACGGCTGGCAAGTTACAAAGCGTTGGCCGGCGGCGTCCAGTTCGTGGACGCCTTGCCCAAGTTGGCCAACGGCAAAATTCTCCGAAGAGTCTTGAGAGAATGGGAGGCGGCGACTCGAAGAGCGGCGACCTCGTCGAAATTATAGAGCCAGGCTGCTGCCGTCGGTGTTGGACCACGGGTCATATGTTGAATTTCTTTAGAGTTTCATTACAATAGCCTAGTGGCGTGGGCTCCATGGGCTGTCAGGCTGTCTCACCGCCAGGTACTACGTCCTAGGAACACTCCACGCAGAGCTTCACAATAGAAAAAGTGGGCCGGTAGCCAGCTCTACCCCGCCATTCATACTCGAGGTTCCAGTTCCCATCATAGCACCCCTGCATGGTCTTCACTGTCCTCTTTCCCCCCCCCTCCACCACCCCCAGTTCGGCCCCCGCGGTCCAGGTCGCCACCAGAGTGAAATTCAGATAATGACGCTTGATACAACTTTCGGCCTGAATCGTCCTCCTTGCCTTTGTATTACCTGGTTTTGTCGTTCACCAATCTTGCTCGACTCCCACCACCGCGCACAGGGAGCTTGTCCATGGCTGAGGGCCCGGCAAACACACAACCACCACCGGGCACGGTGATCGTCGAGGAGCCGGGAAACGGTGCCCGTGGTCGGCGCAACAACTCGATCGCATGCCTCAATTGCCGGAGGCGAAAGGTCAAGGTATTGGTCCAGCTCAGCTCTCCTCATTATTTCGCTTGTGCTGATGCAGCAGTTGCCACCGTACAGTGTAGCAGTGATGTACCAAAGTGCTCTAACTGCCGCCTCTATGATGTCGAGTGCACCTATGTTCAAGATCGCCGCAGGTCAGTACAGAAGTCCCACGCTCTTTCTTTGCTAATCCCGCGCGCAGAATACCGGTTCAGGGACCGTCGAGGCAACGGCTCAACACTACCCAGTCACGGACCGTCAAAGGCTTCACAAGGGGCTCGACTCCGCCGCCACACCAAAATTTCTCGCATTTCAATGTCGATCTCGACTTTGGAGACCTGACAGAGGAGGCGAGCGGTGACGGCCGGGTCTCCGACGACATCCTCCTCGCCCTGGCCTCGACGTCGACTCAGGACTGGCCGGGCTGGATCGAGGGCGACGAGACGTCTGACCCTTTCCACGACCTCGCAGGCGTCGTCCCCGGCGACGGCCTCCCAGCAGAGCTCTGTCCCTTCAACATCGAGCTCCCGTTCAGCCATCCCGAACACGACTCTTTTCCCGAATCCGAGCATGGCGAGTACCCTGGCGAGCGGCAGGACACCCTCTCCCCACCCATGAATCCCCCCGCCGCCGGTACCGCCGCCGGTACAGTCGGCGCTCCGTCCAAAGGCGATCGGGCCCGCAAGTGGTCCGTCGTGACATCGGCTCCCAGCCCCGACGACGACGCGAGCGACGTGACGGAGCAGTTGACCAACCGACTGGGCCGGCTCCAGATTGCGGAAGACGGCCATCCGCGCTACTTTGGCTCGACCAGCAACCTCTACATTCTCCATCACGGACCCAAGTCGTTGCACAAACCCAATATCCGCGACGTCATGACCTTGGGCGACGCGGCGGCCGACAAGGCCGGCTACCACTGGACCCCCGCCGCCGAGTACGAGGCCGAGTTGATCACCCTCTTCTTCAGCTGGTACAATGCCCTGGTCAACGTGGTCGACCAAGACATCTTCTTCCGTGAGCGGGCGCTGTTCAAGTCCGGCAAACGCAGCGACTTGTACTCTCCAGCCCTGGAGAACGCGGTGTGGGTCTCACTTTTTGCTTTTTGTCCCTTCCTTGCTCTCCTGCCACACACACCCCCCGAGAAGATCCAGACCATTGACTCTTCTAGTTATGCCATCGGCGCCATGGTTACCACGACCCCCCATCCCGACATTCCGGGCAGTGCTGACGAATTCTTCGGCTTTCGCACCAAGGCATGCCTCGACATCGAGATCGACAGCCCCACGCTCGCCACCGCGCAAGCGCTCCTCATCCTGTCCGCCCTCGAGGCGGCCCATTCGCGCGACTCCCGTGGTTGGATCTACGTCGGTGAGTCATGTTGCGCGCGGGCTCGGGACGTGTTTCTCACCCAAAGAACCAGGCATGGCGGTCCAGATCGTCTCCGACCTCGGGCTCCATCTCGACCTTCAGCAACAATATGCCGCCCTGTGCGGGTCGGGAGGCAGCAGCAGGACGGGCAATCCGGACGACGTCAACATCCTCCGCATCAATCTGTTTTGGGCCTGCAAGACTTTGGACACGTGAGTGCTATTGTCTCCCCCGGTCTTCCCAATCTTCCTGCTCCATTTGTGGGGGATGGATAGTACAGAAAAAAAAAAGACTCGAAAAACTAATCGTTTTCCCTCAACACCACAGGCTGTGGGGTGCTCTGAGCGGGCGTCCGACGTTGATGGGCAACATCATTAACAACGTGCCAAGTCCCATTCCCTCGCGCACGTATGCGTGGACGTACTACACCAACAAGTTCAGCACCATGACTTTCCCCCCCGACTTTGACTTTGGTGTCGCCGCCCACGTTCCTGTTCACCTGGCGAGCCTGGCCATGATCATGGGCAAGATCTCCGAGACTTTGTACACATCCATCTCTCTCTCTCTCTTGATACACTCCTTGTGGGCGGGAACACCTTTCACTGACAAATGTTTGGCTGCTCATAGATACTGCGGCGTGCCCAACAACATTTCCAACCTGACGTCGTTTGTGGAGGACCGCGAGTCCGAACTTCGGCGGTGGTTTTGCTCGTTGCCGCCGGCTTTGACCATTGACAAGACGACATCGTTGTCGGCCGTCTATCTGCCGTGTGTGTTGGAATTGCAGTAAGCATCAGACCCCCCGCCCCTTCAAATCACGGATGATGGAAATGACTCTTTTTTCCTTTCTGATAGCCTCCAATACTACGACGCCACTATCCTCCTGCACCGCCCTCAGATCTCGGCCTCGGATCGGTCGTCGCCGACGCGGACGTCCTCGCTCGACAAGTGCATCAACGGTGCCCGCGACATCTGCCGGATCCTGGTCCACTACCGTCGGCGCTACGGCCTCCAGCGCATCCACTGCTCCATGGTGCACGTCACCATGACCGCCAGCCTTATCCACGTCTTCCATCTGTACCTCTCCGACACGGCCGGGGTGGAAAATGCCGAGGCGCAGGGCTACTTTTCCACCTGCATCCAGGCGCTGGGCGAGATGGGCCAGACGTACAAGAGCGCCCTGAGGGCGTTGGACGTCCTCTTGTCCCTGCGGCAGAACTGGCAGTACGCCGCCTCGACGAATCCGACGGCAAAGAAATTGCGGTCTGGCTGATATCTCTGGTCGACCCGGCTGGAAGCGAAAGTTTCAGTTTGGCCGCGACACCAGCGCGGAGATAAGGCGAACAAAAACAAAGATCAGAATACTCTTCACGAAAGAGAGCGCACGCTGTTAGTTGAAATCATGTACGTTGTCGGTGTCTGGTGGCCAAAGTCTTTTTTTGTATCATCTATTCAAATGTATTCCTGACCCTGTCTCCCGAGATATGCTTTGGATGGGTATTTCCACAACTAATAGTTAAGCAATCACCCTTTCTTTCTTTGAAAATGGATGGTATATACAACGCTCTGAAACACTTGTGGCCCATCTCGCCCCTCTCAACTGACCACAAAACCTTGGTAACCATTTGCGGCACAAGCCTTGATGAGCTGGATGTACCGGGGCATGCCGCCCATGTAATTTAGGGCCTCGCGCGGCTTCCCCGGGATGTTCGAGCCCATATACCACGTGTTGGCCTTGCAGAGGAGGCTCTTGTTGGCGAGGTCGTTGGTCTCCCGCCGCCATTCCGTCTCGGCAGCCGCAAGGGCTTCGATCCGCCGCCCGTGACGACGCTTCAAATCCTCCAGGCACGAGATGATCCAGTCACCCTGTGCCTCTGCGATGCGAGGGCCGATGGCGAACGCCGTCGGCCCCTGCGGTCCGTACATGAAGAACATGTTGGGAAACCCGGCCGTGGCCATCCCGAACGAGGTGTACGCCCCGCGCGCCCACTTATCCGACAGCTTGACTCCGTCCACGCCCTGGAGATCGATCTTGAGCAGACTGCCCGTGACGGCGTCGAACCCGGTGGCGAGGATAAGCACGTCTAGCTCGATGTGCTCGCCCGACTCCATCTTGACGCCGTGGGGGGTGATCTCCGCTATCCTTGTCTTTCTGAGATTGTAGAGGTTCACATTCGGTTGGGTGTAGACCTCGTAGTAGTTTTGCTCCAGGGACGGCCGTTTGGTCCCGAAGGGATTTTCCGGCTCCCACGGTGCCAGACTCTCGACCGTGTTGGGATCGACGTTGACCAGCCTTTCGCGCACCTTGTCACGCCAGAATCCGTAGACGGAATTGTTAAAATCGGCATTGAGCAAGAGGTCCCTGTAGTTGCCCAGCCACATGTGGAACCCTCCCTTGGCCCAGAGGGACTCGAGGTGGGCGACCCGTTCTTCAGGCGTCGCGTCGCTCGAATCCTTATCGAGCCCGTCATAATCCCATCCCGCGTAGGTCGACATGACCTTGTTAAACAGATCTTCGTAGCCTTGCTTCATCTGCTCTTGTACTTGGATGGCGCCTTCGTCGTAACGCTCCTGTCTCATCGGCAAGGCGTTGTTGGCCGTTCGCTGAAACACGGTGAGGTGCTTCACCACAGGGCCAATCTCCTGAATGACCTGGACGCCACTGGCTCCGGTCCCGATGATGCCCACTCTCTTCCCTTCCAGGTCGAGGCCCTCCTTCGGCCAGAGGGCCGTGTGGTGGCAGACACCCTGAAACGATTCGAGACCTTTGAGTGGCGGCACATAATGCTTTGCGGCAAATCCGGTCGCCAGAAGGAGGAACTGGCTTTTTGCGACGTAGCCCGTGTGCGTGACGACGGTCCACTGATTCTGGTCCTGGTCGTAATGGGCTTTAGTCACGGTCTGTTCGAAGGTGATGTCCTTCTTGATGTCCCACTTTTCGTCGACGTGGGCGAAATACCGACACAACTCGTCGCGGCCAGGGAATCGTTCGGTCCAGGTCCATCCCTCCCAGAGCTCCTTGGCCGAGAACTCGTACAGTGGCCAGTACGTGTCGACGCGGGCTCCCGGGTACGAGTTTGCCCACCACACACCTCCCAGGTCTTTTCCCGCCTCCAGCACTTTGATCTTGTACCCCAGTCGACGGAGGTGGTACAGCAGGTAGATGCCACCAAATCCGGCACCGACGACCACGACGTCGAACTCTTCGACGTGGCTTTCGCCGTTTGGAGCCGTGGAACCGTTCGTTGTCATGGCTGCGATTCTTGGTTGCAACCCGTCCTGAGCGATCTATGTGTGACTGAAGTGTAGGCAGCATGAACAAAAGAGCCGACTTTGAACCATTCAGGCGCCTTGCAAGGCTCCGGGGAAGCGGGGAGGTGGATGAGTGTGACCACATGGACAATATTTCCTTCCCCACCAAGGCATTCCTTGGCTCGGGCATGTCCAACTTCCACGGCTGTCTTCTTTTGGTCCAACTCCCGCTGGATACCATGTCGCAGCCCCGCGGAGTTCTTGCTCGGCGCGTGCGGTCAAGCTTCACTGTCGGAAATGCGCACCGTCTGAAGACATATTTCCATGCTCCGGGTCACGTTCAGAGCCTCGGTCTGGGCGCTGGGCAATTTCGAATGGCCTCAAGTATCGTCACGCAGGTTGCGGGTGTGAGGACGGCCGCAAAGGGAACGAAACCTCCTGGTGCTGGGGGACGAGCGCTCGCGTCAGGTTCTCGACCATCCCATCTCCCACAATGACAATCGCGATACCGCACTCGGCGCCCATGCCACCAGGACTGAACGACTTATTGGCCGGAGGGACTGTGTCCAAGTCAGTCTTGATCAATGGAGCAAACACTGGCCTTACGGCACCAGAAGAAGAAGAAGAAGTGAAAGAGAAAGGGGAAGAAGAAGACCATTGCCTGCTCAATGGCGCCGCCATTGTATTCCATTCCCCAGCCTTCCCAATCTAGTCCTTTTGAATCCGGAGTTCACACCTGACGCTCCAGTCGAGCAGATACCTCTCAAGAGACCCGAAGATCTCACCAGCGCCTGGTTGGGGTCCTTTCTCGGTCGCAATCTTGCAGAGGATGGATTCCTGGTCAACCACATTGGCCAGGGTCATATGAGCAACACCGTTCGCGTCGACTTTCACGAGGCCGATCAACCACATCGTCCGCAATCGGTCGTGGTCAAGTTTGCAAAGGACGACGCTGCCATTCGTGGCCTGGGGCTGAAATTCGGCCACTACCTCCGTGAAGCCATCTTTTATCGGCACTTTGGCGATCTTCTGGCGGCTGCGCTGCCCCTCTGCTACGGCGCCGTCGTCGACAAAGATGCCTGGTTCACCATTGTTCTGGAAAATCTTTCCATCCATGGCAGCTACAGCGTCAACCAGATCTTAGGGACCGACTACGAGCACGCAGCTCTGGCTCTCAAGACGCTGGCCATGTTCCAAGCGCCGTTGCTGGGAACCTCCCCCCGGAAGGGCGACGAGTGGCTTTTGGCGCCACCAGCACTAGACCAAAATCTCTTCAGCGAGTCCCTGCCCGCCTTTCGCGCCAAATACAAACTGGAGCCGGAGCACGATCGACTCCTGGATTGGATGGACCAAAACCTCGACGCCTGGTGGGCGACACGCGACCCCCCCTTCTCTCTCTTCCATGCAGACTACCGTCTCGACAATATCATTTTTCTGCCTCGAGGTGATCGTCGAGCTGCGGTGATCGACTGGGGAGGCGTCAGCTGGGCCTCACCATTGAGAGATGTGGCCTACTTCCTGGGTAACGGCTTGACCGTGGAAGACCGACGCAGATGGGAAAAGGATCTGGTGCGTGTCTATCTCGACGAGATGAATCGTCTGAGTAAAGTCAAGATGACCTGGGATCATGCTTGGACACAGTATCGGTTGGCCGCGATTTATGGCCTCGCCCAACAGTAAGTCTTGTCGCATCACCCCGACTGATCTTTGCCACTCTTGCTAATTCCGTCACGGCAGCATCCCTGCCGCCGCCATCGAAGAGCCGACAGATCACATCAAAGCCTTCTTCAACACGTTGGTCCCGAGACAAGCACAACATGCCCTGGACATGGATGCCACCTCGTTGGTAAGACCTCACACCTCCTCAATATCGGCGACCGTCGGCGATGAAAGTCAGCAAATCCCGCCCGATGGCTCCGGTCCCATGTGGAGCGAGAGTTGGTATTTTGACTGTGTCTCAAGCGACGGGGAGTTGGGGTTTTATGGTCGACTGGGACGGTTGCCCAACCAACAGACCGGCACTTTCTTTGGCGGAATCCTGCGGCGCAACAAAGATCCGATCGTGTTTGTCAACATGGACGCTGCTCTTCCCACATCCGATGTGACCACGCAAACGCTCTGGACCGACCGATTCACCGTTGAGAGTCGGTGTCTGGACCCGTTGAAGAGATTCGCCCTCACGGTCCGAGGCACGGGTGCCGCCTTCTCCGACCCGTCAGCCCCGTTCCATGGGGGAACGGGCGTAGACGTGGATGATGTGGTGGTCGATCTCGTCTGGGACACTGCCGGCATCCCATATCAAAAGCGGGGCCTGACCCGTTACGAATTTCCCTGTCGCGTTTCCGGCACCGTCAAGATCGGGGCTGAGTGTCTCAGCGTGCAGAACGCCCCGGGAGAGCGCAACCACAGTTGGGGGGTCCGGAATTGGTGGGTCGCCGACTGGGTGTGGTCGGGTCTCCACTTTTCAGACGGCATGGACGTCTTCACTATTGCCTTGGGCAGGGGTCGCGAGAGTAGCGGCGCGTGCGGCGCCATACAGGAGAACGGCAAGCTCACAGAGATCACGAGTGTCGTCAACGAGTTTGACCCCGCAGACACCGGCGCCCCCAGCCATCTCACCCTGCGGATTGAACCCGGCGACCTGGTGATCGAATGCGAGATGATCGGGCAAGTTGGCCTGCGCCTCCTTGACCAGGATGGCCGGGAAACGCATCTTCCACGCGCCATGTGCAGGGCCAGGACGAATCGCGGCCAGACAGGGGTGGGATGGCTGGACTTTAACATTGTGGTCAAGAAAGAGCCCGACACTGCGTCGGGTGTATGTGGCAAGAGACGCAGCGTTGCAGCCGGAACGGATGCAGCAAGGCCGGCGAAAATAAGGGCAACAACAGGAAGCAAGTGTTAGTTAGATGGCAACGACCAGTACGGGCCGTCGTATTGTGGCTTCCGGAGGCAGTGTCCCGATATAGAAGATTGGCATCATGTATAGTCCATACAATTGCTCCCACTGAAGCTCCTGTAAGAACAAGGAGTGGGAATGAGTATTTGACGTGAGGAATTTAAGAAGTGACGGGCATTTTCAAAGCTTGTCTTTTGTATACGTGGCGCGTGATATGACGGGGCTGTGCTGAATACCATCAACGACAGTCCCGAAGCTGATGTGAGCAGACTCGAACAGAACGTAATGCTCTGCCCATGGGTGCAGTGCTGTCGGACATTCCCTGGGCGCTTGCGAGCTGCGCTCATATGTAACAAGGAGAAAAAAAGACGGGAAAAGACTCGGAAGTCATGCGAGAGAACGGGTATGGTCTCAAAGGCAGAGCGTCCTTCGTGGACTTTGAGTGGTCCTGATAAAGTGCTACCTAACTTCCATCTCCGTGTAGATGATGGCCCAGATCCAGAAACCCATGAACCACCCGGCATGCAACCTGGCCGACGCAAGGTCTTTTCCCTCTTTTGCAACCCCGACTGTACGCCATCTCACGCCTCAGATGAGCTCTCAGACCTTGTGCTCGGCATGGACGACCTGTGTCTGCTCGGTTTTGGCCAGGGTCGAGTCCAGGTTGTCGACGTCCATGTCTCGGAGACGCACCACGGGCTCCTCGCCGAATAGCTCGCCGATTTCCTCCAGCGACAGGCCCTTGGTCTCGGGCAGGACTAGCAGACAGAGCGTACCACACACGACGCCAACAGAGATGAGGATGAGGTAGTACTTGTAACCGATGTTCTGGAATCCGGTGCTGGCGGGGGAAGCCCACGCGATGGTCGCGCCAAAGTAGGTGGCCATTGCCAAGCTGACGCCCTCGGTCCGCAGGTGGCTGGGCCAAATCTCGGATGTGTAGACGAAGCACGAGGGGTCCATCCAGAAGTTGTAGAAGAAACCAAACAGGAAGAAAAAGGCCACCCCCGTGCGCAGGCCAGCGATGTCGTTGGCTGGAATCCATTTCGCCGCGACCACGGCTTCCATGGCCAGGCAGAAGGCGCAGGTGTAGGCACCGCCGGCTAGTCAGAGAGAAGTAGACCGTCAGTAAGGGAACTTTGGACGTTGGGAGGGAGAGAGAGAGAGAGAGAGAAATGCCAGAGGAATCGCTTACCCATCAAGCGAACGCGACCGACGCTGTCGGCCACGATGCCGCCGCTGATGGCACCGAATAAGACAGCCCCGAGCCAGGCCACGCTCAAGCCCAGTTGCAGGCGGAAACCGTAGCCTAGACCGCCGAACAAAATAGGGATGTAGTTGGCGAGCACCAGGATCCCGGTGGACATGGCGGTGATCCAGACCAGGACAGTGGACAGAGCCCTCCGGCGGAGTGCCGGGGTCCGCCAGATATGGAGGTATCCGCGGGGCAACTTGTTCTCGAGGCTGACCTGCTCGCGGATCTGTATCATCTCGGCCTTGGCCAGGGTGAAGTGGACGTCGCTCGAGTGGCTGTGGACCCTTTTGAGCACCGCGAGCGCGTCCTCGTACCGTTCCTTCTGCACCAGCCACCTGGGCGACTCGGGGATGAAATACATCAGGCCGGTGATGAAGAGCGCAAAGATGGACATGAGGATGAAGTTCAGCCGCCACTGGACTAGCTCCGTGACCCAGCTGAAGCCGAACGCGGTCGCGGCCGAGGTGACGTAACCCAGATCCTGGCCGACCACGTTCAGGGACACCAGCCAGCCGCGGGAATGGGGCGGCGACAGCTCGCCGATGAATTGAGGAGAGACAGTCAGCACCATGGCGCCGCCAATCCCGGTCATGAAGCGAAACACCAACAACATGGGCAGGTGGTAGCTGGCCGCACACAGCGCGCCCGAGATGCAGACGATCAAGGATCCCATTCCCATGGCGACGCGGCGCCCGTAGCGGTCGGAAATCGGCTGTTGCAGAAATGAGCCGATGAAGGCGCCGCCATAGTAGATGCCGACCAACGCGCCCTGATACGCCGCAGCCTTGTCCGCCGGCAGGAACTTTGCGATAAAGGTCGGCTGGGCGAAGGAGCCGGCCATGACATTGGAGGCATAGCCATAGATTGACGTCGCCAGCGCGATACCTAGAACAACCTTTGTTGGGTCATCGACGTCAGCCTTGCACCGTGACATTCCCGGCGAGGGAAGAAGGGGGGGGGAGGAGAAATCATGGTACTTACGATGATATTCAGAAAGGAAGTATAGACCTCAAGGTGATGAACCTCATGCGAGGGGCCCTCCACGCCAGCTTCCATGTTTTCACCGTTTGTAGGGGTTATTTGGGAAAGTCGTGGTAATGAGTGACAAACGTGGCCACATGGAGGAAGGATTTGCTCCTCCTGGGTCAATCCCAATGCTGCTTTTCGAATATGTGGGGTTGGAGATGAACATGAACTTATACTCAAGCCTCCCCAGATCAGGACCTGTTTGACCTACAAGTATGGTACGGAGGTTGTGGCTCGACTCCTTTCTCCGCAAGAAAAGATCATAGACACGGCCGGGGTGCAAAGATGGACCCACCTCTCCCCCCCGGTTCCCATGATCTGGTAGAGCAATCGGATGGGTTGCCGAAGCTGCAGCCCCCTCCCCCCCACGGGGATGAGCGTCCTGGTGTCATCTTTCACCGCTGACGGCACATGCTCCACGGAATTCCTATTCTAGTTCTCGGGAAAGCGGTCCAGTGCCCAGTGAGCTACAGACTAGACTCCGTTCACTGCCTTTCCCAAAACAAACTTCCGCGGAAAATCAAGTCTGCCATCACGCCGCATTGTTCGGAGAGAGAGTGGGCGGCGACACCGTTGCTACTGGAGATGTGCTAGAATCCGAAGATGGCTTGCCTGGCCTGCTGAGAGATTCGGACTCTCATTCTGTCCCGCCAGACTGCTGAATGAAATCCTACAGGACTGTGAACTCGACTTCTGATCTGGCAAAGGTGTATTGAGCTTGATATGTTTGGTCGGTCCACAATCTCAGAGGAGCAGGGTCACCAAGAATGGTATCACCCATTTGGAAAACTCAAATCAGGAGAGAATCTGACTGGGGTTTGTATAGCTTAGCACTTCTGCTGGGCCGATTGCGCTAGGTCAAGGATGAATTAACGGATCTGGAAGTGCGCTCAGCCCTATTACCACGACCCTTTCAAACAGAGCCCGATCCCACTGAGAGCTGGCCGTCTTGTGAGGAACCTCAGGCGGAACCACTCCTCGACGATGCAGTTAGTGGCGGAAAGTAGAGGACGTCCTGGGATTGAAAGGCTGATGGATGCCATTCCAGGGTGGGTTAATGAAAGATTCTTCTCATGGTTCGAAGTCCCCCGAATATCTAGGTCACTCGCTGGTAGTTTGAGGCCTTCGACTTGCGTTGGACTACCATCTATCGGAGACGTCTTGTGTACGTCAACGCGTCAACATATCCTTTCTTAGGTGGATTGTCCGCCACTGTGATCTTGAACTCGCACCAGGAGAAGCCCACACGTCTAAATTGTTGCATTATCTCTGGCATTGGTCCTAAACATCCACAACGTTCATGAGACTGAGATTTCTTTGCTATCCATTGAAGAGCAGGGTACGGTTGTCTCAGAACACCAACCGCCACTCAATCAGCGACATTACGGAAGCTTTGCTCAATGTCCCGCAGTGTTTTCATCTAGATGAAGGAAATGTAGACCTTGACGAAAAGAAATTTCCAATTTCCCTTGGAAACAAGACATATCCGTCGATGCGATGTTGGACGGAGGATCCTGGACTTGTCCTCTTTGGTGCCTCGTCGAGGGACCTTCCAGCTTCGTCAGATGTGGTCGAATTCTCAAGCTTTGATTGACACCCATCACACATAGTCTCTCCTGTCTCGGGGAGACCATCTTGTTGCTTCGTAGTTCGGAAGAAGATCTCTTGCCATCATCTGGAATTTTTCTCAGCTGATTCTTGTGCCTTTTGAGAAAGCGAGCCAGGCAGAGTGAAGGCACGGCCATGTCTCGAGGAATTGCATATCGCTTACGTGCCCCATCCTTCCAAGGTCACGACCACTTTCTATGCATTGGACAGGTCTAGACGCTACAGTGGCGAGCAAAAATCCAAAAAATTGGCAGTTTTGCCGAGGGCACAACAAGAGTTACACCGCCATATGCGCATATGGCGGTGTAGGTCTACGCACTTTAGAACAGCATAATTTACATAGTAAATAGCTATCCTATAGTACACAAGAGTATGTTAGTATGTCTACGCGACCTCGCCGTGAACCGACACCTTCTCGCCGCCTCCTGGAAGCACGCGCCTCAGCCGCGCCAACGAGAGCAAATCGGCCTATAGCAACGCCAACGCCCTCAAGGCCACTATCTCCGACCTCTCGGGAGCTGGTAGAGGCCACTCCAGTACTACCCAGGTCTATAACTGTCATTTCCGTTAGTCCTAGCACGACAGAAAACCCTAAGAGACCTAGTCAGCGCATCAGGCTGACGTTCAACAACTCGCGCGACTCAACCTAGGCGCGATCGCCTATTCCTAGCGCTACGAGGGCCGCGGCGGCGCGCGAATCTATACCTACATTCGGTAGACTTACACCTGACGAGGCGAGATCGATCGCTCGCGCGGCGCTCAAGGAAAGCGCTGTACAGCGATTCCACACTTCGCAGAACTCGCAATGGCTATTCACGTCTTAAATCCTTAATGAAGACGATAGTTTAGACCTATCGGACGATCTAGATAGCCAGAATGACTCGATAATCGGCGCTAGTAGCCAGGCGAAGCGGCCTCGGAGTAGTAGTATAGATGGATCTATTCCTCCGCCCTCTCATTAACTAGAGGCTACAGAACAACATAAACGCCATAAAAGGACCTTAGGAACAAGATAAATAGACTCTCCAGCGATGGAACCCTTCGAAATGAGTAAAGTTACATTCAAAATCGCCACCTCTATAATAGTAGGAAGGTCCTTAGAACTCTCTACAGAGGACGATGGAATAGAGCTATTTAATATCGACCTTCTTACTTACGCCTACCAACGACGCCTAAAAGCGAAGTTTCTACCTAACTAATTTCATCTAATACCTCCTATCCTTAGTAGTAAACTAGTCCTCATGATTTCGAATAAGAGGCTATTCTAATTCACCTATAAAGACGACAGAGATTTCGAGAAGTTCGCGAGGTAATGGTAGAAGACCTTACAGGAACTACGGCGACAGAAGTACACTATCTAGATTACTCTAACTATCAAGTTCGAGGCTAGGCTAGTTACGCCACCACGGCTACAGGACTTAATACAGGCTAGGCGTCGGCGTAATAAGGAGCGAACGAGACTAAGCGCTACTCAGCGTCAGCGCTAATCGATCGCGGCGGAGGAACTACTAAACGTCGCTACCGGCGATATCTAGGTATACGAGTTAGCCGCTAGGTAGATGTACCCGAGCGATCGATATCCTAATTACGGTAGAACCTACCTACCTATAGAAGAGGGCCACCTCCGCCTAGATACCCCATCGATTAGCTTATAGTTTAAATCGATCCGAAATCGCACCGTAATAGCTGAAGAGATACTAGGATCGTTACTCCTAAGACTTATAAAAGATAAGGCTAACTACATAAATAAGAAGGCCGGTAAGGCGGCCTCGAATAGCGCGTAAATCGCTACTAGTAGTAGCGGCGTTTACATCCAGTTTTTCTAGGGTAGTGAAGGTACCGCGGCCGCTATAGCGAGATCCGAGCGCGAAGAGTAATCTAGCCTACCTTTCCGGCCTAGCGATGACGATAATAACGTAGCCATCTACCTTAACTAGCTCGGTAGGCGCTATCCTAACTATACGGCCGAATTCGGCGAGATTAAGGGCATTCTATAGGGCGAGGGCTAGGGTTTCTTAGACCTTCGAATAATCATAGATTTAGGCTAGGAACGTATAGAAATCCGTAGTAGATTCGTCGTAAAGATTAAGAAGAACCTTAAGATCTTCGTAAACGAGGAATTACAGCTAGAAGAGCCTTCTATAGTGGCCACCAGCGACCTTAGCCTTAAGCCTTAAGACCTCTATTATTATTATTATTCGAATAGGATACCGCGTTACTAGCGTAACAGGTAGTGCCGCCGGCGATTATAGGATTACCTATAAAGTAACGGCCTCGGAACGGCGCTAAGTAAAGTTATTACAACGTCGCTAAAAGGCAGGAAATAGTGTATTTAGAGCGATCGATTAAGTAGTAGGCTATAGCGCGAGGTCTAAGCTATTTCCTAGGTAAGCTTTTACTCACCTAATTTTACTGTAAACGAGGTTTCTATAGGAAACGACCTAGCCTAGTAATACTAAGTTTATACACTGATTAACCTCGCTATCTACGATAGTTATACTTACGCCTAACCCTCGATTCCTACCAACAGGACTAGTTCCTCTTAATCTTCGCGTTCCTCCTACCTAGTCCTAGTAGATAGTCTATAGCCATAGGTTCTAAAGTAGTTCCTCGCTGTCCTCGCAGGATAGACTACCTACATTACTAGGTAGAGGAAGACCTCGAATTACTCTTCATATTCATATCTAATCTCGCGATTCTTCCTCATCCACTCCTTTAATTTATGAAAGGCCATCTCAATCGGGTTCAGATGCGGCGAATAGGGAGGTAGGTAGGCGAGAACTACGCCATGTTACTGGTAAAGAGCCTGTATCCGTTCGCCGTAGTAGATCAATGCATTATCTAATATCAATACCGATCGAGATGCTGGAAACGCGTTCATCTATCCTAACAGCCTCTCGACGAAGGCTAGGAATCTCTCTCCGTTAAAGGAACCCTAAAAGATCTCATAATCGAGCTACCCATCGATCGTGAGCGCTGGGAGGATACTCCAGCGAATACTCCGCCTATTAGAAGCCCTCACTCGATAGGGTACTCCTCGTGGTAACCAGCTATATTTACGATCGCTAGTCCTCTCGTTTACGGTACTCTCGTTAAGGTAGACGAGTTATTCAACTAAGTACTAGGTTATGTTAGCTAGGAACGCTATAACTAGCGATTCATCACGCCGAATATTAATCTTATTTACCCTCTTACGTATAAGGCCCAGCCTTTTTAGGATCCTACCTACGGTCGTAGGATGGACCTCTATATTAAACTCTTCCTTAAGGAGATCGTAGACCTCGTCCCTCTACGCCGTTA